ACTGAATTTACTGTAAACACACACTGCATTTACTGTAAACACACACTGCACTCCAACACACACTGCACTCCAACACACACTGCATTTACTGTAAACACACACTGCTCTCCAACACACACTGCATTTACTGTAAACACACACTGCACTCCAACACACACTGCATTTACTGTAAACACATACTGCTCTCCAACACACGCTGCACTTCAAAACACACACTGCACTCCAACACACACACTGCACTCCAACACACACTGCATTTACTGTAAACACACACTGCTCTCCAACACACACTGCATTTACTGTAAACACACACTGCTCTCCAACACACACTGCATTTACTGTAAACACACACTGCACTCCAACACACACTGCATTTACTGTAAACACACACTGCTCTCCAACACACACACTGCACTCCAACACACACACTGCACTCCAACACACACTGCATTTACTGTAAACACACACTGCTCTCCAACACACACTACATTTACTGGAAACACACTACAACACACACACTGCACCCCAACACACACACTGCTCTCCAACACACACACTGCACTTCAACACACACACTGCACTCCAACACACACTGCATTTACTGTAAACACACACTGCTCTCCAACACACACACTGCACTCCAACACACACTGCATTTACTGTAAACACACACTGCACCCCAACACACACGCTGCACTTCAACACACACACTGCACTCCAACACACACTGCATTTACTGGAAACACACACTGCACTACAACACACACACTGCACCCCAACACACACACTGCACTCAGACACACACTGCATTTACTGTAAACACACACTGCTCTCCAACACACACACTGCACTCCAACACACACTGCATTTACTGTAAACACACACTGCACCCCAACACACACGCTGCACTTCAACACACACACTGCACTCCAACGCACACACTGCATTTACTGTAAACACACACTGCTCTCCAACACACACACTGCACTCCAACACATACTGCATTTACTGTAAACACACTCTGCACTCCAACACACACTGCATTTACTGGAAACACACACTGCTCTCCAACACACACACTGCACTCCAACACACACTGCATTTACTGTAAACACACTCTGCACTCCAACACACACTGCATTTACTGGAAACACACACTGCACTCCAACACACACTGCATTTACTGTAAACACACACTGCACTCCAACACACACACTGCATTTACTGTAAACACACACTGCTCTCCAACACACACACTGCACTCCAACACACACTGTATTTACTGTAAACACACACTGCACTCCAACACACACACTGTATTTACTGTAAACACACTCTGCACTCCAACACACACTGCTCTCCAACACACACACTGCTCTCCAACACACACACTGCTCTCCAACACACACTGCATTTACTATAAACACACAATGCTCTCCAACACACACACTGCATTTACTGTAAACACACACTGCACTCCAACACACACTGCATTTACTGTAAACACACACTGCACTCCAACAAACACACTGCACTCCAACGCACACACTGCATTTACTATAAACACACTCTGCATTCCAACACACACACTGCACCCCAACACACACACTGCACTTCAACACACACACTGCACTTCAACACACACACTGCTCTCCAACACACACTGCACTTCAACACACACACTGCACTTCAACACACACACTGCTCTCCAACACACACTGCATTTACTGTAAACACACACTGCACTACAACACACACACTGCACTTCAACACAGACACTGCTCTCCAACACACACTGCATTTACTGTAAACACACACTGCACTTCAACACACACACTGCACTTCAACACAGACACTGCTCTCCAACACACACTGCATTTACTGTAAACACACACTGCACTACAACTCACACACTGCACTTCAACACACACACTGCACTTCAACACACACACTGCTCTCCAACACACACTGCATTTACTGTAAACACACACTGCACTACAACACACACACTGCTCTCCAACGCACACACTGCACTCCAACACACACTGCATTTACTGTAAACACACACTGGCACACACTAGCTGACTAATCTGTTGGTGTTCTGTGGTGTTTATTTATTTTATGTTTTTTTTGGTCGTTATTTCTGTGTGTCTGTCTGTAAGTTATTAACTGAGCACTTATTAAACTACAGCTTGTGAGAAGTGCCAGTGTGCAAGAAACAGTCCCGGTACGCCAAAGAATAAAATGTTGAGGTGCGTTCCGGCCCACTTCAAGCACTGCTACAAACTAATTAAATCACCAAGTAAACATACTACAAACCAAACAAACTGCAAACTAATTGAACTACAAACTAATTAAACTACCAAGTAAACATACTACAAACTAAACAAAATGCTAACTACTTAAACAGCAAACAAATTAAATTACAAACTAAACAAACTGCAAACTAATAAAACTACAAACTAATTCAACTACCACGTAAACAATCTGCAAACTAATAAAACTACAAACTAATTCAACTACCACGTAAACAATCTGCAAACTAATTAAACTACAAACTAGTTGTCTATTATGATGTTGTGTGTTTTTCTGATGGACCCCGAGTCTGACAATACTGTTGAACTGAACTGAACTAATTAAAATACCAACTAATTAAACTACAAACTAAACAAACTGCAAACAAATTAAACTACAAACTAAACAAACTTCAATCTACTTAAACTGCAAACTAATTACATTACCAAGTAAACAAACGGCAAACTAATTCAACTACAAACTAATTCAACTACCACGTAAACAAACTGCAAACTAATTAAACTACAAACTAGTTGTCTATTATGATGTTGTGTGTTTTTCTGATGGACCCCGAGTCTGACAATACTGTTGAACTGAACTGAACTAATTAAAATACCAACTAATTAAACTACCAAGTAAACAAACTGAAAACTAATGAAACTGCAAACAAATTAAACTACAAACTAAACAAACTGCAATCTACTTAAACTGCAAACTAATTACATTACCAAGTAAACAAACCGCAAACTAATTAAACTACAAACTAATTAAACTACAAAGTAAACAAACAGTAAAATCATCAACAGTTTCAGAAGAGTGTGTCGTGTGTTGGTTGTGTGTGAAGGCTGCAGGATGTGGAGGGTGGAGGAGATGCCCTCCTCTTCCTCCTGAGCAGGACAGGATGTCAGTGAAGGAGAGTGGGCTGATTTAACACCCTGTCCTCCAGAGGTGCATTATGCCTGAAGATAAGTACGGGAAGGAGGAGGCGATGGTGTGAATTTAAAGACTTTGCAAAGACAACAGAAGTGTCAAGTCCTCCATCACAAACAGAAGCATTCTTAGAAACCGTGAGGGAGAAATGTCTGAAAGGAGAGTTAGTTTTTTTGATATCTTATGAACGAAAAGCACACAAAACATTCAATGTTTGACTTCCCTAAAAAGTTTTTAAAAACTGAAAATCCAAAGACCTGCCAGCACTTCCTAAAGACTGCAGTGTTCAGCCTCAGCTCTGTCTAAACAGGCAGCACGTTATTTAGTTGTTAGTCACTCCAGCAGCGAACATCAGAGCTAACGGGTCATCAGGTGTCAGCTCTGTTTGCTTTATGCCAGGGCTTTTTTTTAAAGAAACATGGATTCTTAATGTTTGATGCTTTGCTGTTTGCTTTTGATTTGGTTAACATTCGTCAGATCGTCTCTCCTGTTCTGCTATCAAAGAGCCATTGAACAAACATTTCAGTTTTAAATTAAAAAAAACTGTTCTGTAAAGTCCTTGGGGAGTAAAAGCTAACTGTAACAAGCTGGATGAAGTGGTTTTGGTCTATGAACAGCCAATGGCAGTACTCCTTTCAGAAGGAAGAGAGCTTACCTCCATAGATACCACATACAGTTTTACTAATTTTTCTCCAGGCTCTCTCCTGTTTTTTTCTGTCTTTACAGTAACGACAGCCTATAATTAACAAAAAACAACCATGTAGGTTGTTAGTGCACCACACTATTATGACCCCACTGACGTCTGTTGTACAACAGCGGCAAAGATAGAAGTACTGTGACGTATTAGAAATAGCAAGAAAGTCCAGGCATGGAGGTGGACAGGGTGGGTGTATAGATGGGTGGATGAGTGGATGGATGGATGGATGGAAGGATGTATAGATGGGTGGATGAGTGGATGGATGGATGGATGGATGGATGGATGGATGGATGCGTGGATGGATGGATGAATGCGTGGATTGAAGGATGTGTGGATGGATGGATGCGTGGATGGATGGATGGATGGATGGGCCAAACCCAGAACTTTCACACAGGAGAACACTGTTTGAGTCCCATCTGAAACCAAGTAAATGTTGAGTTTTAAGTTAAATAGCTTTACTAACTTCATCACATGATTATCATAGCGTACATACTTTAACCCAAACTACAATGTTTTCCTAAACCTAACCAAAGTGTGACTGTTTCACCACGTTTAAGTCAATGCTCGTATTTGTCGTTCTGGGTGGCTTTGATGACCTATTTTGTCATTTAGTTTTGAGCCGAGGGTGCATAAAGACGTTGAATCGTAGAGCTCTAGGTGCCCATGAAAATAAGTCTGTCCTGTTATTTCTCAGTGACGTCAGGAGGATCTCGGCGCTGATAGGCCCTCGTAACAGTGTCACATGAATTTTCTGCTCAACTTGAAACATTTTCAGTTCGCCAGAAAGAAATTTGTGGTTTCAAAACTTGATTTGCTTCAATTACACTTCAATTTCTATTAATGAATGTGTTTTTATTGCTCATATGTGGTTTGAAACTAAATAAACCAAGACATGAGATCATCTTCTTCTCTGTGTATTATTATTATTAATATTTTTAGTTAAAGTTCTGATAATGAAATATCTGAGATGTTTACACCTCCTCCTCCTCCTCCTGTAGCTGGGTGTTTTCTTCTTCAGGTTTATTAGAACAACTGAACATGTGGGATGTACTCTGGTATTTCCGACAGACCAGCATTTCCACGTCGGTCACCAGCGCCGAGAAGTCCTTCACTCTGAAACCACAACAATTGAATAGAAGGAAGCGCTGCTCGCTGACTTTTTTCCTCCCACAAAGACTCACTTCCCTTCAGCTCTTCTGTTCTGTTCATCTGGAGCTGGAGGACGCACGAAAACCGCAGTAGAGAAACATGGACACCCTGATTCTGGTTTTATTGGTGCTGGTGAGCTTCAGCTGTGTGTGTAAGTACTGCATGTGTTGGTGTTTATCTTATCTGTGGACTGAGACAGACTAACATGACATCAAACTTTAATCCATCCTGTGTCAAAAAGCTTTTCAAAGTCTGATTCTGTCAGAAGCTTCACTAAGTATGCTGTGTAAAGACTCTGTACCAGGGAAATACTTAGAGGGTACATTTTACTGTCTTGTTCCCTGGTACTCATACAAGTACCTCAAAAGTGTTTGATTGATACCCTGATACACTAAATAACTACTCACTGTAATTTCTAATCTAGTAATATTGACTGTGTTTGGTTGTTAATGTGAAGTGAAAAGAAGTAACTGCTCCCCATTAACAATTAAAGTAACAACTATGATATTTTCATTAATCCATGTTCACTAAATGAGCTGTGTGACGTTATGTTTTATTATATATCAAAGGAAGTGGTACCTTTAAAAGTAATATTACCACACCATGTAGAAATAATCTGTTAAATAATAAAAGCCTTTAAATGGTCCTGCTTTAAACATTTTACTTTAAAAAGTACAAAAGAATCAAAATCTATTTAACGTACCGAAAGTAAAAGTACTCCTCATGCAGATGTCATCCAGGTCATAGTTTTCCAAGGTGGGTTAAAATTATTGGCAACTGGACTTGGCTGAACATAATTCAGGATACTTTATGTAATGCTGAGTAAGTTAATGTGTTAATATGTTTTGTTTTAATAATATGAATCTTTGAAGTATCTAAAGTTTGTGGAAGAATATAAAAGAATAAAACACCATCAAGGAGGAAAGATATAAAATTGAGTTTTATGTACACAGCTCAAGTAAATGTACTTTTCACCACTGCTGATCAAGCTGTGGATTTGAGATAGGAGTAAAGCACGTGAGAAGGAGTCAGACTGCATGTTTTATTCGATCACTTCTATTAGTATCAAATCATGAAGAGATCTGTTAATGTCCACAGCAAGAGAAACCTGCTTCAGCGTCCGTATGATCAGCTGCCTGCTGACTGATTAGCTGAGTCACACATTAAAGTGATTTAACTATACAGATACCTGCCGCTGAAACCTCTGACTCCACCACACTGCAGGGGAGGTGGATTCATGTGTGCTCCTCAGAGGATTTAAAAGCATCCGGGTCTTTCTAGAATTAACGTCCTGATTATCCGCACACGTTACTGTCCACTGGTTTTAAAGGGAATTTTTCCTCAGTAGACATGCTGCTTTTAAAATAGTTTTCTGTTGAGCTTCCCTGCTGTATTGGGTGGCGATGGAACAGTGGATGAGGCACATGCCTTTGGCGTGAGAGACCCTGGTTCAATCCCCCACTATGACCCATCCACCATTGTGTCCCTGAGCGAGACACTTAACCCCTCGTTGCTCCAGAGGTGTGCGACCTCTGACATGTATAGCAATTGTAAGTTGCTTTGGATAAAAGCGTCGGATAAATGAAGAAATGTATTGGGCAGAAAACAGTATTTATCCTGGCTAAATGATCAGACAGACTCTGGGTTTTAGTAACCTTTGTGTTGAACTTGTGTCTCCTCAGCCAGCTTCCTCGTCATGTTGACCACGAAGAGCTTGTGTCTGCAAACCCGAAGTCAGGACGTCATCCTGGGACCCTGTGATGTCACTAACCCTGCCCAGCAGTGGGAGTGGCTGGGCGGAGCCAGGCTGATCCACGTTCAGTCCTCCAGGTGTCTCTGGGCCGATCCTAGCCCTCACCTGCCGCCCCACGCCCGCCTTGCAAAACTCAGAGACTGCAGCGCAGCACCGGCGTGGAGCTGCCACAACACTGATGGAGCGTTTGGATTGGTCGAGACACGCATGTACCTGAAGAAACAGGGACCAAGGGTGGTGATCGGAGGAAACCGATCACAGCTGTCAGAGTGGAGGAAGTACTATGTCGACTCAGGAGGGAATCAACTGATGGCGTCTTTATGCTCCGAAACAGGTGAGAGGAAACAGAACCGTTAAAGGTCTGATAACCAGAACCGGGCAAACCTGACCTATGAATACTTTCTGATTAATACAATGCTAATATCTAAATGTTAACACCAAGGTGGTGCTGCACCTGTAACCACACCCAGCAGTGATGTCACAGCGTACTAACAGACCCTGGAGTACACTCCTACATCACTGCAGCAAGCTGAGCAGTTTAACCAGTGTGAAGATGAGCCGGAGCTGCAACCTGTCCCTATAGGTTTATAATGTTTATTGCAACCCATGTTTATGTTTTTAGCGACCTCTTGTGGCTGTACAATGGTAGCAAAGGAGGCAGTCAGAAGACGTATTACGTATTACGTAAAGCCAAAGTCCACATGAGGAGGCAGTATGGGGTGGTGGATGGTTCAGACCCAGAACTTTCCCACAGGAGAACGGCCTTTGAGTCCCGTGGGAAACCAAGTAAATGTGGAAATACTTTGAGTTTCATGCTAAGTTGGATAGCGCTGCTGTCTTCTGTCATGTGACTATAATTTTCCTGACTTGAAGCCATACCACGATCTTTTCCTAAACCTAACCGAACTACAACCCTTTTTTACTTACTTTACAAATACCGTTTAACACGTGATGTAACTTAGGTCACGGGACTTACTTAACATCTGCTAAGTCTGTCACAGGACAGACTCGGAAAAAGGTTGGGTGTAAACTGTTGGTTTGAGCACTGTCGTGGAAAACCAGCACGGCTTCTTCCCTCATCGTAACTTTGTACTTTGTAGTTTTTTAGCTTCTAGTTTTGACTGTTTGAGAAAAGGGGAAGCACCATCAAAGTCACATAAGCAACAGCAGGTACCCCCCCAACCACTTCCCTTTCTTCCCACCCCTCCCATGATGAACCAGGGCAGACCATGTACAGCTGTTTTTGTATTTGGATCTAAGAACCTTTGACCAAAATTAGCTTTTCCTCTCCAACCCGATCCCTTCGCTGTCCAGGAACCCCTATGACCATAATAGACACAAAACAACAACATTCAGACACAAAGAGATTATATAAATATGCCAATTTCATTTGTGAAAATATCCACAGAAATAGCCCAGAGTATTCACAAAGTAAATATATCAATTAACCAAACAATGTATAACTTTCTAAACAAATTCAAATACAAACACAGCTGAAAAAGACAGTTCACCACAAATATTTATAATAAGACATCCATATATATAAAAACCTTTATTTAAACCGAAAAGTCTCATTGAGACAGTCTCTTTTACAAGGGAGTCCTGTATAGCACAAGTAAAACACCATTTTCAACCATGAGTTAAAAAAAACAGTACATTACATAATACAAAAGTTCAAATACAATACAATACAAAATAACACAAAATGTACAAAATATTTACATGGACAAAAATGCTATGATTAAATATATATAAAAAGAAAATAAAAAGACTAAATGTAGAGATCTAACTACCGCTAATCAAAAAAGACATTAAAAACAAGTGCAGTTAGAATGTCTGATATTTGTTTAAAAGCAGCTAAAGAAATCATACCTTGCAAAGTACTTCCACACTACATCTTAAATGATACTTTGCACGTGAGAAAATGTTAAACAGATATAAGAAGGCAAAAGACCTAAAATGGCTTTATAAATGAATTTTCTCTAGGAACTTGGAGCCGGGAATAATATTTTGTGTTTTAGCACGATGTAACCTGACTGTAGAAAGCTCCTTTTGAATCACTTCTGGAACAGAACCTGAAGTTCAGTCGGGCTCCCTACAGCATGTATGTAGCTAGTTCCCCCGTGACGTTACAGATATGTTAATTGGCGCGTGGAGTTATCTAACAACTAATGAGCAGGCTTTAGCTATTTTGTGACCTTCCATTGAAAACAGTTGGCAACACTGCTAATGGCATTCCCGAAAGCCTCGGCTGTCTTTTGTGTTTAGTGCCAATGTTAGCATGCTAGCCATCAGCATATGTTAACAGGGAACTTGTTAATTACAAAGTGGTGTACATGGCTGAGTTCAGGATAGTCAGAGGATGACTCTCCTGATACTGACTTCCCTCACATTGTTGCTGGTGTCCGTTAGTTTACTCAGTCAGGCAGGAAAAACGTCAGCAGTGTTTTTCCTGTCAGAGTCTCACCCAACATCTCAGAGACACTTTGAACCAAACACTGAAGCACATTGGTGTTATAGAGTCCTACGACGGTGGTTCAGCGAGTGACTAGCAAGTCAGAGCCCAAGTGCACAACACAGGTGAGCTGACGTCACTTTGCATGAGTTTAATCCAAAACATGCAAACATTTAAGGACAAGGTAACGACCAGGGCGGGACCAGGACCAGGTGGAGCACCTGAGGTAATCAGACACAACACACACAGCCAAGCAGGTGACAGGAAGGATTGCGACACATAGCCCACTACTTTCAATTATATTGAATTATTTTTTATTTGCTCCCAAGTCCGTTTCACACAGCCTGTCGCAGCCGTTAAAATAAATGGGTTTCATTTTTCTTATGTCAGGCTGAAGATTATGAGCATATAGTTTGGTCGGCCTAATGAAATCAAGTTTAATATGAATGCGTTCATTTTAGGTTAGTGGCTATCTTGTGTTATAAAGACTGAATACCTGGGCAGGTAATGTGGGTGAGTTTTCAGCAGCCTAAATGTTGAGATTCAGTCTTTCGACCACTATTTGAGCACCTTTTATGGCATGAATGGATTTTTGGTTTTGTTGCTTTTTGAAGTTAATTTAGAACAATGTTTGGGACACTTCTGAGTACGTTAAATAAATAAATCTGATTTCTGAAGTGACAAGAAGTTGTTAAAGTGAGTTGGAACAACCAATTATTCAGTGCCCGAGGCTTTGAATGTGGAAACGCCACAACACACATCAAACTGAAAGACTAAGGCTGAAATTGTACACGGCACGGTGGTGCAGTGGTTAGCACTTTTGCCTCACATGGTCGTGGGTTCAAACCCCAGTTGCCCCAGCCTTTCTGTGTGGAGTTTGCATGTTCTCCCCGTGACTGCGTGTCTCCGGCTTCCTCCCACCATCCAAATACATGCAGGCTAGGTTGATTTGGTGACTCTAAAATTGTCCTTAGGTGTGAATGTGAGTGGTTGTTTGTCTATGCGTGGCCCTGCGATGGATTGGCAACCTGTCCAGGGTGTATGCCACATTTCGCCCAATGTAAGTTGGGATTGGCTCCAGCCCCCCGCGACGCAGGATAAGTGGTTGACGATGGATGGAAATAATATGGATATTGGCATTTAAACTGTTGGTGATAGTCTGTCTTCCTGTATGTGTCAGCTGCAGCTTGACTTATCGAGTTGATAAGCTGCTTCGTGTGACTGTCTATCCTGATTGCGATTGTTAGGGTTAGTGAAGCAGATTACAGAAAGATATCCTGCCTCTGGTGAACTCGCTTCGTGGTACTGGTCACTGCTCTTTTGTTTATGTTTTAGTTATGTTTCTCAAGTCCGTTTCTCCCTATTTTTCAGACACAACTCCTATCTCCAACATGTTTTATTCATCCACACATAAACCACTGGGACTCTCCAGCACCGTCTACACCATCAGAAGTCCTGCCATGACCGTCACTAATGAACGATTATCAAACACAGTAAAAACCCACAGAACCACCAGGCAGGTCACCGCCTCAGACGTCCACAGCTCAATAACCAACACAGCTTCAGCATATGTGGACGATATCACCAAACCTCGAACGGGGAGGTCGTTAACAACAGATGTCAATCCTGACATTTCCACTTCAGTCAAAGAGCTGTCAACTTTAAATGGCAGCCATGTTGTCAGTCCAGCTGTATTCACCACTGACCGATCTACAGACGTGTCGGAGAGTTCGTCAGCTGGAAATGTCCCTTGGCTCGGGAACGAAGCCGAGACGCCATCAGTGCACCAAGATGTTTCCACCACGTCCTCTTCAACTGGAAATGAACCTGAGTCAACTGAGACTGAAGCTGTGACGTTGGTTTCCTCCACAGTTTCCTCAGAGACAAACACAAGTGACACGACGGATCTCCTGGTCACCTCTGAGGTCACTTCTGATGCTACCGTTGGTTTATCTGCTGCTTCTGATACAGAGTCAAGCCAAGATACAAGTTATACAACACATTCAACTACTGACAACAAGACCTACCTTTCACCTGCATCCACCACACCTACACCTCCTACGACTGCTCATGTACCTTCAACAGCAGATATGAATTCTACATCAATCATGGAGACAGATCCACCATCAAACCCTCAAGCCCGGCAGACAATTTCTCAAACTTCACCCATAGTTACCTCGACGCTGCCGACAGTCTCTACAGTTCATCCAAAAATCCCAGCAAGCACCATGACTGATGGTGCTCCACCGACATCTCTAACATCCGGGGATACATCTATAGGAAGGATCTCCACCTCAACAACTATCCCACCCACGAGTCCGACAAACACACCTACAACAGCAACCAAACCCACAACCACCCCTGTAACCACACTCATTACAACCACAACTGAACCTACTACCAGCCCTGTAACTACACCCATTACAACCACAACTGAACTTACTACCAGCCCTGTAACTACACCCATTACAACCACAACTGAACCTACTACCAGCCCTGTAACCACACTCATTACAACCACAACTGAACCTACTACCAGCCCTGTAACCACACCCCTTACAACCACAACTGAACTTACTACCAGCCCTGTAACCACACCCATTACAACCACAACTGAACCTACTACCAGCCCTGTAACTACACCCATTACAACCACAACTGAACCTACTACCAGACCTGAAACCACACCCATTACAACCACAACTGAACCTACTACCAGCCCTGTAACCACACCCATTACAACCACAACTGGACCTACTACCAGACCTGAAACCACACCCATTACAACCACAACTGAACCTACTACCAGACCTGAAACCACACCCATTACAACCACAACTGGACCTACTACCAGACCTGAAACCACACCCATTACAACCACAACTGGACCTACTACCAGACCTGAAACCACACCCATTACAACCACAACTGAACCTACTACCAGCCCTGTAACCACACCCATTACAACCACAACTGAACCTACTACCACACCTGTAACCACACCCCTTACAACCACAACTGAACCTACTACCAGCCCTGTAACCACACCCAATACAACCACAACTGGACCTACTACCAGACCTGAAACCACACCCATTACAACCACAACTGAACCTACTACCAGCCCTGTAACCACACCCATTACAACCACAACTGAACCTACTACCAGCCCTGTAACCACACCCATTACAACCACAACTGAACCTACTACCACACCTGTAACCACACCCCTTACAACCACAACTGAACCTACTACCAGCCCTGTAACCACACCCAATACAACCACAACTGGACCTACTACCAGACCTGAAACCACACCCATTACAACCACAACTGAACCTACTACCAGCCCTGTAACCACACCCATTACAACCACAACTGAACCTACTACCAGCCCTGTAACCACACCCATTACAACCACAACCAAACCCACAACCACTCCTGTAACAACATCCATTACAACCACAACCAAGCCCACTACCAGCCCTGTAACCACCTCTATTACAACCACAACCAAACCCCCAACCAGCCCTGTAACAATACCCATTACAACCACAACCGAACCCACAACCACCTCTGTAACAACATCCATTACAACTACAACCAAGCCCACTACCAGCCCTGTAACCACCTCTATTACAACCACACCCAAACCCACTACCATCTCTGTCACCGAACCTGCAACTACATCCACTACAACACGTACAATCACAGCGACCACAACCATCAGAACCACACCCATTGCAACAACTATCCAAACCACACCACCCATCACTCCAACTACCACCACAACAAGCACAACAACACCTGCAGCTACAACAACCAGAACAACTGCAGCTCCTCCACCGACTACTTCTACACTTCAAGCCACAACCTCAGGATTAACCACTGTTACACCTGTAAGTATTCCTTTTACATTTGTATCGCTGTTTGCTGGTATTTAATTACTAATGGTAAAATAATGAAGAGAATACAAAACAGCACCCAACACAAACAATGAGACAATAAAATAAAAATTCAATGACCCGATCATTCATGTCAACATGACTGATCCCTATTTACTGATCCTGGTCAGGATTCATGTTGATGTTGATCCTGAACATTTATTAAAGGAGACCTTACGCACTCACACACACACACACAGTGTATTGTGTGTGAGCGCTAGAAGTAGAGGGTACGAACCTGTTCCACGTTATTTTTTAAATTGTGAATCACTGTATTCAATTCAATTCAAAAAACTTTATTTATCCCCGTAAGGCAATTCAGTTTTAGCCTACCAGTCCTATCAAACGAGACAAGAAGACAACAATCAATCAAGCATTCAGAAACACTGTCATGTATGGACCTATATCACACTGCACCTATATATATCACACTACACCTATGTATCATATTGCACCTATATATATCACACTGCACTTTTATATCACACTGCACTTAGCACCTATATCGCACTGCACCTATTTATCACACTGCACCAATATATCACATTACACCTATATATATCACACTCTACCTATATATCACACTGCACCAATATATCACACTACACCTATATATATCACACTCTACCTATTTATCACACTCTACCTATATATCACACTGCACCTATATATATCACACTGCACCAATATATATCACACTTCACCTATTTATCGCACTGCACCTATTTATCACACTGCACCTATATATCACACTGCACCTATATATCACACTGCAGCTATATATATCACACTGCACCTATATACATCACACTGCACCTATATATCACACTGCACCTATATATATCACACTCTACCTATATATCACACTGCACCTATATATATCACACTGCACCTATATATCACACTGCACCTATATATATCACACTGCACCTATATATATATCACTCTACCTATATATCACACTGCACCTATATATCACACTGCACCTATATACATCACACTGCACCTATATATATCACACTGCATATATATATCACACTGCACCTATATATATCACACTGCACCTATATATATCACACTGCACCTATATATATCACACTCTACCTATATATCACACTGCACCTATATATCACACTGCACCTATATATATCACACTGCACCTATATATATCACACTCTACCTATATATCACACTGCACCTATATATATCACACTGCACCTATATATATCACACTGCACCTATATATATCACACTCTACCTATATATCACACTGCACCTATATATCACACTGCACCTATATACATCACACTGCACCTATATATATCACACTGCACCTATATATATCACACTGCACCTATATATATCACACTCTACCTATATATCACGCTGCACCTATATACATCACACTGCACCTATATATATCACACTGCATATATATATCTCACTGCAGCTATATATATCACACTGCATATATATATCTCACTGCAGCTATATATATCACACTGTACCTATATATATTAAATTACACCAATGTATATCACATTCCACCTATATATCACACTGCATCTATTTATCACACTGCACCTATTTATCACACTGCACCAATATATCACACTGCACCAATATATCACACTGCACCTATTTATCACACTGCACCTATTTATCACACTGCACCAATATATCACACTACACCTATGTATATCACACTCTACCTATATATCACACTGCACCTATATATCACACTGCACCTATATATATCACACTCCACCTATATATCACGCTGTACCTATATATTTCACTGCACCTATATATATCACACTGCACCTATATATATTACACTACACCAATGTATATCACACTGCACCTATATATCGCACTCTACCTATTTATCACACTGCACCTATATATCACTGCACCTGTATATCACACTGCACCCATATATCACACTGCACCTATTTATCACACTGCACATAGCACCTATATCGCACTGCACCTATTTATCACACTGCACCAATATATCACACAACACCTATATATATCTCACTGCACCTATATATCTCAGTGCATCCATATATCACACTATACCTATATACACTGCACTTAGCACCTATATCGCACTCCACCTATATATCACACTGCACCCATATATCACACTGTACCTATATATATTTCACTGCATCTTTATATATCACACTGCACCTATTTATCACACTGCACTCATATATCACACTGTACCTATTTATCACACTGCACTCATATATCACACTGTACCTATTTATCACACTGCACTCATATATCACACTGTACCTATATATTTCACCGCACCTATATATATCACACTGCACTCATATATCACACTGTACCTATTTATCACACTGCACCTATATATTTCACCGCACCTATATATATCACACTGCACCTATATATATCACACTGCACTCATATATCACACTGCACCTATATATATATCACACTGCACTCATATATCACACTGCACCTATATATATATCACACTGCACCTATATATATCACACTACACTTATATATATCACACTGCACCAATATATCACACTGCACCAATATATCACACTACACCTATATATATCACACTCCAACTATATATCACACCCCACCTATTTATCACACTGCACCTATATATATATCACACTGCACCTATATATTGTGTGTGTGGTGTGCTCCAGTATTTAATGTCCTAATGGATCGTCTTCGTCCATTTCGTGTGTTGCTCTTGGATTGATGTTCTCACCGGCCTAGAACATTGTTTGTTTTGTTATTATACTTATTATTTTACATTGCTGGAATACTTTGTTTTTGTTGGATTATCTTGCATTTGTTGGATCAGCTGCGTTTTGATTTGTTGGGACTTTTCACTTTAAGTTGTACGTTTTGTTTCTGTTAATTTAATCAGTAAACTCAAACCACAGTGTTTACCACAGTGTTTACCGCAGTGTTTAGTGTCTGCAAGTGGGTCCAAAACCAGTTATACCTGAGCACACGGCCATTTCTGACATTTTGATGAAACGTTTATATAAACGGAAGAGAAGTGGATGAGAGGCTGGTACCCCCCCACCATAATTTCAGTAAAGTTACTGGATCCCAGTTTGTATTTTGTATCCCACTATAACTTTTGCTAGGAAACAACAAACGTCTCCAAATTCACCCCTGTTATTAGTCCTGATGTGAAGTATACCTTAAACAAAATACTTGATAGTAGGCCATCATCTGTGCAGAATGGAGGGGGATACATATTTTGGCAGACTGCATGTCCAGCCTGGTAGGACCAGTAGGCAGCTGTTAACGCTTTCTGTGTATGAAAAGTGCTGTTTAAATGCACTATTAAATTCTTATGATAATAATTTACCCTTTAAGGAGCGGGACTCTTTCCAGCCATATCCAAAGGCTGTCCATGCAGTGGAAACATGGAGTACAAGTACAAAATATTGTCTACAATGCTGCATTCAGTTTAATGTACATTTGGAGTCCAGTATATGTAACGCCGAGGCGAGCGACGTGTTAAACTGATTACAGTGATCTTGATTTTACAGTATCGATGTCTGTCAGGATCCAGCTTCCAAACATGGTCGACTGAGTGATCGACTCCGTGGTCAGTCAGAACATCGGCAGACCATCTCGAAATAACTGTTTGCTTTACGAGGGAAACTGAAACTGCTCGTTTCGTTTAGACATTCTCAGTTCAGTGCAGTGAATAATACGAAGTTCAATAACACGTAACGTGTACGCCTATAAAAGCGTTCTTATAATCTGTGTGCTAGCTTGCTCTGCAAAAACCTTGTTGATAAAACAAAACAAAAACGATAGATGAAACAATCCACATGTTACTTTTGGGAATTCGAAAGTCAAGGTCAAGATCAAGGTGTCTTTATTAGTACCCGAGGGTAAAATTTTTGTGCAGACAGGAGACTTTCGGCAATCCATACATAAAAACATCAAAACAAACAGTAAGCATAGAACATTATAAAATATCCAAAGCCTAAAACTTCTAAAAGGAACACGGCAGTGTGCCTCTACACCACCACCCCCTAACCCCCACCCTCCCTACCCGCCCGCCCCCCCTGGCTAAAACACATAAGGTGCTATACATACTAAAAAATCCTATCCCCATAATCCCCATACAAACTTTCTAACAGGGATAACTACCACCGGACAGTGGCGGTGTAACGTCCTAAAGGATCCAACTAGTTCACACACATTTGTTCCGACTTTTGCATCGGCACCATATCATCGCAAGGAAGATCTATTACTATGATTACTGTAGACTTTTCATTCAGAGGGTGCCATAGGAGGGCCCAAGGTCTGTGTTACAGGGGCACTGGCCCCTGTTGGCTCTCCCCTAAAACCGCCATAGTTGGACACACTGCGATTACATACAAAGTCAATGCAAAGACGTGGAGAGACGCGATTTTCCACCAGTCTGTCCGGACATCACCGACGGCTCCAGAGTGCGCAGAGGACAGGGACGCCAGGCAGAGAGGCGGGACAGAGTCTTTGCTCGCCAACAGACAGTTGCTGAGCTACAGGAGCTCTGGAGGAGAGAGCCGGGGCGGCGCTGCAGCTTTGGACCGATAAACACGTGTTACTTGACTCCAGCTGTGGTTGTTCTTTGCTATGAAAGAAGTTATCACATCCCTGATCGAGCCAAACTCCATTCAGAAAACAAGCATTTTAAAAGTTGCTGACAGACCTGACAAAGCATGAATTCATATCTTTACCAAATATGCATCATGATGTCGTTATTTCAGCATTGATCCGTTTATTATAATTAAATCACAGCAAAATGTTTATTTTGAGTTACATACAGCGGTAGTGATGGCAAGTTGTGTTTATTCAAGTACTTTTAGTACCTAAACCCAACAAAGTACTTTTAGTACCTAAACCCAACAAAGTACTTTTAGTACCTAAACCCAACAAAGTACTTTTGGTGATTAAATCCAATCAAAATCCTACCGCTTCACATCGTCAACAAAGCCTCTGGCGCTTAACTTGCCATTTGGGTCACGGAACCTGATAGGACACACATTTTGATGTCACACCGGGACATGTTCTGTACTATGCTGTTGGCAGAGGAGGGACAGGCAGCTCTATCTGCTGCTGTTTGTTTCTCAGCTGAAGATACTGAGCTGGACTGAGTAAGCGTGAGCAGTGACTGACACTGCGTTAGAGGCTGCTCCTTACTCTGGTTGGTTGTTTTGATTCTTGGAGCGTAGGAGGAGCCGGAGGATCCTGATAACATGTCTCATGTTCTGCTGTCAGAATGTAGGGACAGTTTCAGCAAATATGACAACAAATATATATAAAGTTATTTTTATAAAAGTTACCTACTGCAGCTTTAATTGATTAATCAAAAATAATCACCAGATAAGTTGATATGAAAAATTACATTTTAAACACACCCATTTTACCCAATGGAAAACTGAAGGTATGAATCAGGGCTGCAACTAACAGTTAATTTCGTTATTGATTAATAAGACAATTATTTTTATTATTACACTGATAGTTTCTCAGCCCAAAATTCAAAGATGTTCAGTTTCTTGAGAGAAAAACCGAGAGAAGCAGAAAATCTCAATAAATGACAGAAACAATTTTTTTTTAAGCTGCTGATTAGTTTTCTGTTGATCAACCAATCGACTAATTATTACAGTTGTAGTGTGAAACATCATCATAGTGTGTTTGTGTGTGATAATAAATACAGTTCTTGCCTGGTCAGTGTCCAGGAGACACTGAACCTTCACCTGCTCACAACTGAACAGGTGAGAGTCTGGAAGTCTGGAGAACAGCGCAGCTCACGTTCACACAGCGACAGATCGTGTACATCACATATAGGTTATAATTAGAGCCTGTTTCTGGCGCTGGATCTGAGGCCCTTCCTGATTGGATAACTCTTATTCAGCCACAACAATAGATGGTTCTGCTCAGATTGATGGAGCTCAGCTTGGTGCTAAAGGTCGTCAGAGAAAGTCCGAGGCGGGCAGGAAGGAAAGCAGGGTGGGGTGCCGGTCTGTACAGAGCCTGCCTGCCGCTGTTCACAGCGCAGTGAAAGTCTGAAAATCGATGGATCCTCCGGGAGAAAAGAGTCCGGACTGTTTGATATATCTTACAACTGACTGTGATGAAGAACTCTCCAAGACGTCTCTGATCTGCGGGAGAATGCGTGACTCTAGACAGCTCCTCTTTTAAATCCGACTCCATCAGCGGAGGTGATCCTGGAGGTCGTGAGGATGAGGATCTAGCCGTGGATCTAACTGTGGATGGAGTCTGGTCTGGAACGCGTCGGAGACACTTTTACGCGCGACGTGCCAAACTGCAGCGCGCATCCCATTTGGATAGTTATAGAAAACATTGTTCCAACTTCAGATCCTCGGTATGTCCGCTCATCCTGGAATGTGCCACGTTTCTTTTTCCTTAATTGAACGGGCGGATTTAAAGCAGAGGCCGCGATGTTCAGATGCGCCACAAGATGTCTGATACTTTTAATTTGGAGCGTAAATGAGGTGAGTTAACAGATCGATCTGGTTTTTAGACTCAATTCAGGGCGGAACAGGCTGATATCTCTCTCAAAACAATGACAAAAATAATATAACAGCTGCGTTTGGCTCACTTTCCCACACCTGAATGCAGATTTAGATGCAAAATAAAAAGGCCTGATTCTGACACCGTCTCCACTTCATTATTAAAACCCAACAGTGCACTGCAGGTACAAGTTCTAAACAGAGCTGCAGACTTTTTACTTAAAGAAAAACTCTAAACTCTCTCCAGATAATCCACAGGAGACTTCGACACTTCTGTCTTTACTGATGAAATGAACAACTAAACAAACACCTGCTCAACACAGAGAGACAAACAGAGAATTAAAAAAAAGAAGAGAAATGCGTTGATGTTCCTTACAGAATTTAATATACTCTTAAATTCACACAAACATCCAGTGAAATTGGTGTTAGTTTTTGTGGAGGGGACTGCTACACAATTCTGCTGCTCACCTGACCTGATGTCACTTCCTGTTTCAGGTCCGGTCCCGCTGCTCCGTAAACTTCACAAAAATCAGCTCTGGCTCCGATTCCGCTGTGGTGAAGTTCACCACCGCCGGGCTCTCCTGTAACTTCACCCTGTTTGCTGGTGAGGACTCCCGGGCTGTTCCCACCGAGTGTGACCCGGATGGGGAGTCCAGAAACACCTTCACCTGTCAGATCCTGGGTCTGGAACCCGGGACTTTGTACCGTTTAACTGTGATTTCCAAGAAGGATGGAGAGAGGAGCAACGCGTCAGTGCGCACAGGTGAGACGCAGAGAGGTGATGGTCATGAATATAGATTATATCTTATCTATAAATGAAAGAAGCCATCAGACATGAAGTTTCTCCTTCTGTGAAATATATCAGGATTTTTAAATAATGTATTACTGAGTTATCCTGAATTATCCAAACTGTCCAGGTGAGATTATAATAAATATGTTTATAGAATCCGACAACAGCAAAGGTTTTTAAAACCAGTCAATAAAAAGACAGGGAGCGTTTGATGGATATAATAAGAGAACGTTTGACTGGAGGCCCCCAAACTGGGGCCCCTCGCTGCTTCACTGCTGCTGCAGGGGTGTAGGACTGGGGGGGGGGGTTGGGGGGTTGGGGGGGGGGGGGGGGGCTTAGTATGCAGGGCCCTCATGTGAGGAGGGCTGGATCCTGAATATTCACAGGACCCTCGTTTATAATATGACATGAGACACCGTCGATCCTTCGAACACTGTGCAGTTGGAGCTGCTGCTGGGTGTTAATGTTACCCCGCACCCCCCCCCCCCTCCTCTTAGCCTCAGCTACGTGTTCGTGGTCTTCATCTCATTTCAAGTGTTTGTTTCCAGAAACCTCGGAGCCACTTCCCTCCTCACATTGTTTCTGCAGCAGCGGATGCAGGAGGTTTCTGAAGGCTGCAGAGATTAGAGAGGTGGAGGCGACTCTGGGGAGGAGCAGCAGGTTAGAACTGCTCTCTTTAATTAAGGTGAAATAATAGGTTATCATGTTATTGACAGCTACAGAGTCACATGACCTCGGCTCCTAATAACAGCTAGAACGTGAGTCTTTCAGCATCCTGGTGATCTGAGCAGCTGCTGGTCAGAATATAGACAGCAGGCGGGCCGAACGTCTTCAAGCTGTCTCAGTGGGACATTTTGTCCTCGGGGGGTCACTGAGCTGCCAGCAGGAAACAGTAAAGTCTCCTCAGGGAGGAAGCCATTATTAAGAGTTTCTCCTGTCGGGGGGGTTGTTCTCCTCTTCCTGTTTTTCTGTTTCCTGTCCGACTCACGTTGGCTCGATGAAAACGTCTCGTTCTTTGAGCAGCTAAAACAATCTTATCGATCTCCAGCATCTCTGCTGCTGCACACACAGGATACACACACACACACACACACTGTAACACACACACAGACACACACACAATCACACACACATACACTCACAGACACACACACACACTGTAACACACACACACACACTGTAACACACACACACAATCACACACACATACACTCACAGACACACACACACACTGTAACACACACACACACACTGTAACACACACACACACACTGTAACACACACACACACTGTAACACACACACACTGTAACACACACACACTGTAAACACACACACTGTAACACACACACACACACACAGACTGTAACACACACACAGACTGTAACACACACACACACACACACACACACACACAGACACACAATCACACACACACACACACACACACAGACTGTAACACACACACACACACACACACACACACAGACACACAATCACACACACACACACACACACAGACACATACACACAATCACACACACACACACACACTGTAACACACACACACACACACAATCACAGACTGACACCTCTGACCTCTGACCTCTGACCTCTGACCCCCCTCTTCTCTCCTGTCTCAGACCCGGTCGGTCCGGCTCAGCTGGACGTGGACCAGACCCAATTTAAAAGCCAGTCTGTGGTCCCCGGTGGTTCTTCAGGTCTGCGGGTGTTGTGGTCTCGTTCTGCTGGTCATGTGGACTGGTATGATCTGACTCTGGAGGACGCTGGCTCCGGATTCACCCGCAGCACCAGGATTATGGACTCTGCGGCCCCCCAGTCTGGTTTCAGCGCCCTGACCCCCGGCACCCTTTACACCGTCAGTGTGGTGGCAACAGCCGGAAACAAGAGCGCTAAACCCGTCCACCGCTCAGCCGCTACAGGTGAGACACAACAGCACCGGTCCACAGCAGGTGGGACAGGTGTCTGAGTGGATGAACCTCTTCAGTCCAGAGCGGTGACTGAAGTCACACGTGCTCTTTGTTAGAGACAATACTCGACAGTGATTTGAACGTTTGCAGGTCAGAAGTCGTCGAGATGTTTCGGTTAAAACCAGAAAACAAGTGGTTGAAAGGTGAAAAAAAGAAACATCCAGGTTTCAACAACACTGAAAAGTTATTACGACTTGAAGCAGATCCAAATGATTTAAATGCTGTTAAAACATTGGTCGTGTTTCTAAAGCTAATGGTTCCAAACACAATTCATTCACGTCACAGTTTTATGCATGTTTAGTGTTTTAAAACCTTCATGTGAACCACAGCTGTGATTTAATTATAATAAACGGATCAATGCTGAAATAACGACATCATGATGCATATTTGGTAAAGATATGAATTCATGCTTTGTCAGGTCTGTCAGCAACTTTTAAAATGCTTGTTTTCTGAATGGAGTTTGGCTCGATCAGGGATGTGATAACTTCTTTCATAGCAAAGAACAACCACAGCTGGAGTCAAGTAACACGTGTTTATCGGTCCAAAGCTGCAGCGCCGCCCCGGCTCTCTCCTCCAGAGCTCCTGTAGCTCAGCAACTGTCTGTTGGCGAGCAAAGACTCTGTCCCGCCTCTCTGCCTGGCGTCCCTGTCCTCTGCGCACTCTGGAGCCGTCGGTGATGTCCGGACAGACTGAAAAATGTATCACATGATCGTGTACTTTGCATCGCGCCCATTGTGTCTGCTGCGCCGCCCGGTGGAAAATCGCGTCTCTCCACGTCTTTGCATTGACTTTGTATGTAATCGCAGTGTGTCCAACTATGGCGGTTTTAGGGGAGAGCCAACAGGGGCCAGTGCCCCTGTAACACAGACCTTGGGCCCTCCTATGGCCCCCTCTGAATGAAAAGTCTACAGTAATCACAGTAAGAGATCTTCCTTGCGATGAAATATTACATTAAACTGAATGCAGCGTTGCAGACAATATGTTGTCCTTGTAATCCTTGTTTCCACTGTATGGACAGCCTTTGGATATTGCTGGAAAGAGTCCCGCTCCTTAAAGGGTAAATTATTATCATAACAATTTAAAACAGCACTTTTCATACACAGAAAGCGTTAACAGCTGCCTACTGGTCCTACCAGACTGGACATGCAGTCTGCCAAAATATGTTTCCCCCTCCATTCTGCACAGATGATGGCCTACTGTCAAGTATGTTTTGTGTGTAATAATAATTATAATCTTTATTTGTTTTTACAAGTTACAAAGTGCTTTAACAAGTGTAAAGACAATAATACCCAAAAGACAATAATACAAAAACAATACAAGATAAAAGCAAGACATTGAAAAAACATTGAAAAGACTAAAATACACGTTTAAGATAAATATAAAATTAGTAAAATACAATAAAATAAAAGGGATAAAATAAAGTCAAATAAGATCAGGAAAGGCTCTCCTATAAAAGTATGTTTTAAGAAGGGACTTAAAAGAGTTCACTGACTCAGCCGACCTGATTTCCTCGGGCAGGCTGTTCCAGAGCCTCGGGGCCCTGACAGCGAACGCTCTGTCCCCTTTAGTTTTCAGTCGAGACTCTGGAACAGACAACAGACCTCTGCCCGAGGATCTCAAGGTACGTGCTGGTGCGTATGGGACTAAAAGGTCAGAAATATAACAAGGCGAGAGGCCATGAAGAGCTTTAAAAGTGATCGATAGAATTTTAAAGTCAATTCTAAAACATACTGGGAGCCAGTGTAATGAAGCTAAAATAGGAGTAATGTGGTCATATTTCTTTGTTCTGGTTAAAAGCCTGGCAGCTGAGTTCTGGACAGTCTGGAGTCGATCAATAGATTTTTGGGTTAAACAGGTGAAAAGGCTGTTGCAATAATCCAGGCGTGATGAGATGAAGGCGTGTAAAATGGTCTCGGTGTCCTTAAAAGTTAACATAGATCGAATTTTTGCTATATTTCTAAGTTGATGATATGAATAATAAGAGGAGACTGTAATTCCATGGAGCTTTTGTGCAGTTTGTGTGACTCTTACCTCCAACATCTCCGACACGGGGCTTCTGGACAAAGACACAAACTGTGAAATGAGTTATTACTGAAGTTTTAACTGTCACATTTCATGTGCTCATCTCCCTCCTCCAGCTCCGTCGCCTGTCCGCCGCCTCCAGGTGGCGTCCTCCTCCACGGACAGCCTCAGTGTTTCCTGGCAGGTCGGTCCGGGCAGAGCCGAGCGCTTCAGGGTTCTGCTGACGGATCGGGACGGGGTTCTGTTGAAGAACGTCACTCTACAAACCACCGCCACCTCCGCTGAGCTGGACGGCCTGCAGCCTGGGACGCCGTACACCGTCACCGTGGTAACAGAGGCTGTCGGCCTGCAGAGCTCCGCCTCCACACAGGCTGTCACAGGTACGTATTATGAGATGGTTTTAAAGCTCCTGGTTTTGGTTCATCTGGTCGGCTGCACGCGACCTGCTCAGGAGCCGACAGATGTGTTGCTGGAGGTGGAAATAAGCAGCTGGCCAAACACTTAAATACTTTAAAATGACCAAATCACATCTGGATGTGTAAATTAAGTTCTTTTTTTATTTTATTATATTACTTTACTTTACCATTATTATTGTTATTCAACTCGACTCGACCAGGTTGCAGAATCAGAGCCTCAAATCCACCTGAGTGTCAACCCTGAACTCAGCGTCCATTACATTTATTCATTTGGTAGACGTTTTAATCCAAAGCAACTTACATTTGAGGAACAACATACAGGCATCAATACAGTCAGAGACAAAATTACAAAAAAGTACTAAGAGTTGTCGGCACCTACAGCATCAGTGGGGTAAATACCGAGAGGAAGAGTTCACTAATAGTGCAATCACTACAGGAGAACTGTAATAATAATAATAATCTCTATTTGTAGAGCACTTTTCAAAAACAAGTTACAAAGCTTTAACAAGTGTAAAGACAATAAAACACAAAAACAAATATGTCATAAAAGCAAGAAAACACATAAGAGACTAAAATACACATTTAAAATAAATATAAAATATATATAGAATAGAATAAAATAAAATAAAGTCACATAAGATCGGGAAAGGCTCTCCTATAAAAGTATGTTTTAAGAAGGGACTTAAAAGAGTTCACTGACTCAGCCGACCTGATTTCCTCAGGCAGGCTGTAAGGAGACAGAAGAAGAAGAGCACAGGAAGTGATGTCAGAGGTCATCAGAGGAAGCGTTCTCTGCAGAGTTTTCAGGAGCTTCTTGAAGTCAGAGAGCGACGCCCCTGCTCTGATGGCGTGCGGTAGCTCGTTCCACCATCGCGGTGTCACAGATGAGAACAGGGACTGAGGTTGTTTTGTGTGAAGGGAGGCAGGCGGCGTTCATTGGAGGAGCGCCGTGGCCCAGAAGGAACTTATGGAGTTTAGATAGATGGTGCAGAGCCAGGAGTCGCTTATCAGCTCTGCTCAGATGGTTTCAGCTCTGATGGTCTCAGCAGCTGAGTCACTTCGCTGCTCGTTGTTTGACTTTCCAGCAGCAGCGTCACCCTCTGCTGTTGTTTCCAGGATATTTTAGGCTCCCCCCCCCCCCCCCCCCCCCCCCCCACCCTTCCTCTGACTGAAACCTCCCCACCCAAAAACTCTGTCACTCTAATAACTCTGCTCCCTCCTGGGAGTCTGCTCAGATGGCTGTCCAGCCCCCAAAGTTTCTAAAGTCTTTATTTTCCATAAATAAAACGTTATCAGAATCAGAAATACTTCATTGATCCCTGAGCAGAAATTCTTGCATCACAGTTGCTCACATTGCAAATCAAAGTATAAAGGGACAGAAATAATAATAGACAGTTGGTAAACAGAATATAAATAAGTATACAATCTGAATATAAAAATATAAATAAGAGTGTGGAAAATGTGCAGTATTTTAGTGTAATGACAAACACTAATAAATAGTAAATAGTAGTAATAATAGATAATATAGGGAGTGTTGAGGTGGAGTGTATTAAAATGTACTTTTCTGATTTCAGACATTTCTAAGAGACCAGTTTACTGTTCAAAGCCTTCATAAGAGGGAACAGGTGACTTCAGGTGCGTCCGCAGAGACGTGTCTGAAGCTGCTGAAGCCTCCAGCTTCTTCTTTTGAGGAAACACAGACAGTAAAACGTTTTGTTCTACACGAGGGAAGAGAAGAAAAGATAAATATTTAATATAACCCCCCCCCCTCCTTCAGTCCCAGCAGCTGTGTCCGATCTGAGGCTGGACAACAACGGCAGCTCAGAGAGTCTGCAGGCCTCCTGGGTGTCTCCTGAAGGGGGTGTGGACGTCTTCCTGGTGACCCTGTCGGCTCCGGGATCGGCCGCCCAGGAGCGCCGCCTCCCTCCCAACATCACCCATGTGCTCTTTGAGAGTCTGACCCCAGGTCGCAGCTACCAGCTGTGTGTCAGGACCACAGCTGGAGGCCAGAGTTCAGAGACCAGGACCAGCGGCAGGACAGGTACGTGTTCAGGAGGGTTCCTGCAGGAACATTCTGCTTCATGTTCTCCTGTGTTGCTGACTGACAGCTGCGTGTTCCCCGTCTCGTCCCGTTTCAGTCCCTCAGCCGGTGACGGCTCTCTCCATGTCGCTGCTCAGTGACGGCAGGACTCTGAGGCTCAGCTGGTCGCCCCCCAGAGGTCACTGGGAGAGCTACAGCGTCCTGCTGAGGAACGGGTCGGAGGTTCTGGTGAACCAGACCATCAGTCAGCTGAGCAGACAGCACGCGTTCTCCGTCCTCAGCCTGGGCCTGGTGCCGGGACGACTCTACGGGGCAGAGGTCACGGTTCGCAGCGGCATTCTGGGTAACACGGCGCGCTGCTACGGACGACTGGGTCAGTAAACGTCTACACCTGTAGGTATTTAGTTCAGGGAGTGACCTCTGACCTCCACACGCTTGGTTCCTTTAGAGAGAAAAAATAAAATACGTAAAACTACATTCACGTCATCGGTGACGGGCTGCTTTACCTGCTGAACCCTGTGATCCCTGGACGAGTCGCTCTACCTGCTGACCCTCGCCGCCGCTAACTTATGAATGATATTATCTCCCTCCCTCCAGCGCCTGGTCCCGTGCAGCAGCTGCTCGTCCGTCACGTTGATGAAACGACTCTGAGCGTCCTGTGGAATCGACCGGTCGGCGAGTGGGACGGCTTCACCGTGGCCCTCAGACAGATGGACGCCGCCGCCGTGGTGGCTCAGAGGATCCTCCCCTGGGAGGCCAGAGAGTGCACCTTCAACATCCTCACCTCAGGACGCCTGTACGTCGTCACCGTGACGACCAACAGCGGCAACCTGACGAGCTCTGCCTCTGTGACTGCACGGACCGGTACGTCTGGTTTCTGTACGCCGTCTGTTTGTTCCTTTAAAGATGGAAAGAAAGAGGATCATGACGTGTGATAGGAAACAAGATAAACATCTGAGATTTCACCAGAATGTTTATAAGGCTCCAATCTGGTGATTCTGGTTTGTGTCTATAAACTAGTAAAGGGAAAAATCGATGTAGCTTAGAAGCGCGATATTTTCTGTGACAATACTGTATCGATACACGGACCCCAAGTATAGATCTTTTATTTTATAAATCGCTTTAACATTGTTCAGTCAGAACTGAAGCCACCTTTTCAAAACTCTTCACACAGTCACCAACATGCATCTTGACTAAAGAGTTAATCTCACCTCCAAAACCCACTCAGACCAAAACACTTCATACATGTCTCAAAATAAACCCCTTCAGAAAGCAAACACTGACAACAGGAGTGTTTTACAGAAATGATGAACTTTTACCTTTGAAGTTTAAATGATTTTTCACATAAATCAGTATTTTATTAGTGAATAAGAATGACATATTTCACTTTATTGACTGTACTAAAGTATATGTAGGAAGAATAAATCAGAAATTTGCTTCACTATCCTTACCGTGCATTCAGACCAAACGCAAATTTAATCCTCGCAACGCTTTCCTCGTTGGGAGGATTAAACATTTCGCTGTGATTTAATTGCAATAAATCAAACTGATGCTGAAATAACGACATTATGATGCAGATTTGTTAAACATATGAATTCATGCATTGTCAGGTCTGTCAGCAGGACAACAACTTCTAAAACGCAGCGCCCACAACGCTCACTTCACTTTTGGTCTGAAAGCACCTTAACAGAATTTTCTTTATATCATTGCATATAGTAATTTACTTGTTTCCATGGTAACACCGGTGCCACAACCTGTAATTCATGCACCAACCACCTGAAACAATCCTGCTGAAATACTTCTAGTAGCTTTATGTCAGTATGTATGTGTATTTTTGTCTGTATTTCATTTGCCTTCATTCTGCTCTGAATGTGTTTCAGTTTTGGTCACAGGGTGTTAGCAGGTGAGAAATGTGCTGCAGATATAAAGTGTTCTGCAGGTGGTGGAGCAGTGATGAGAAAGTGGTCACTGAGTGCATTTTGGGTGAAACCACTAAAAACAGTTTGGTCCACGTACACTCCTGTTTCGCTGTGAACAGGTTTGACCCCTGCAGTTCCACCTGAAAGAGAAAAGGTTCCTGTGGCCTGCAGGACGTTCATATGCTCACTCATGGTTTCTAACGTGGTTCCTCTCAGCTCCGGCTCAGGTCACCGGGCTGCAGGTTTCTAACGGCGGCAGCACCGACAGCCTGCAGGCGCAGTGGGAACGAGCCTCCGGAGATCTGGACTCTTACCGAGTCCTGCTGGTCCACGACAGCAGCATCATCAAGAACCAGAGCGTGGAGGCCGACGCCACCGGCATCACCTTCCACGCTCTGAGACCCGGAGCCCTCTACAGGGTGGTGTTAACCACCGTCAGAGCCGGACAGACCTCCAGGCAGACTGTAGCAGAGGGACGCACAGGTAAGACTGAGGGGGACACACCTGGGAACACCTGGGGAGTAAACCTTTAACGCGGCTAAACATCATCACACGAGGGTTAAACCTGAATACTGAACACAGCAGCATTTAAATCCTCTTTAAATCCAAAGTTGTCGACAGAGCTGCGATACTGGCGGTCTGCTCGTTCACTTTTTTAACCCCGCCCAGTTTTTACAAAGTCTAAAAACAAACATGACAACAATGAGCGGAAACGATCCGTGTGTGTGTGAGTGTGCAGTGTATTATTGAAAAGCAGGAATTTGTCTGGAATTTGTCAGGAAGTGTCGACAACAACAACAACTACGACAACCTGTCAGGCTCCGTCTGTCAGAGGCTTCCTGTGAGGAGTGTTTGATTGTTGAATTACAACACGAAAGCTTTGCTGGAAAATCTTTTCTAAAAAGTCACCACAGACTATTAAAAGATTAGAAGAAACAATGAAAGTGTCGTGGGAGTCTGATAGTTAATCCTGTTATTATCCCAACAAATCCCTGTGCAGAGCCAAACTAACACTGAGCTGGTCCAAAGTGTTGTGTGTACAGTCCCCTCCTAAAGTGTTGGAACAGTGAGGCCACTTCCTTTGTTTTTGTTGTTCACTGAAGACATTTGGGTTTAAGATCAAAAGATGAGACAAGAGTTCAGAATTTCAGCTCTCATTTCCTGGTTTTCACCTCTAGATGTGTGAAACAACTCAGGACAAACCACCGTTTGTTTTAGACCACAGCGTTCTTAGGTGAACAAAAGCAAAGGAACAAATCATCTTCAAGTTAATAACATTTAATATTTGGTGGCAGAACCTTTGCTTGCAGTAACTGCCTCAATCCTGCGACCCATCGACATCACCAAACTGTTGCATTCTTCATTTGTGTTGCTATTCCAGGTTTTTACCGCAGCTTCTTTCAGCTCTTGTTTGTTTCGGGGTGTTTCTCCCTTCAGTCTCCTCTTAAGGAGGTGAAATGCAGCTCTGTTGGGTTCAGGTCAGCTGATTGACTTGGTCAGTCTAAAACCTTCCACTTTTTCCCCTGATGAAGTCCTTTCTTTTGTTTTGTGTGCTTTGGCTCGTTGTCCTGCTGCATGATAAACTTCCTCCCCATTAGTTTCAGTGCATTTCTCTGTAAACACTTCTGAATTCATTCTGCTGCGACCATCATCAGTTCCATCATCAATAAATATTAATGAGCCTGTTCCAGAAGCAGCCATGCAGCCCAGGCCGTGACATCACCTCCACCAGGCTTCACAGATGAGCTCGTACGCTCTGGATCATCAGCAGTTCCTTTCTTTCTCCACACTTTGGCCTTTCCATCACTTTGCTACAGATTAATCTTGGTCTCATCCGTCCATCAGATTGTGTTCCAGGACTTTTGAGGCTCATCTCTGTGCTTCTCTGCAAATTTCACTCTGGCCTTGTGATTCTTGCTGCTGATGAGGGGTTTGCATCTTGTGTTGTGGCCTCTATGTTTCTGCTCTCTGAGTCTTCTTCCAACAGTGGATTGTGATACCTTCACCCTGCACTGTGGAGGTCGTTGCTGATGTCACTTCCTGATGGTTTGGGCGTTTTCTTCACAGCTCTCACCATATTTCTGTCATCAACTACTGTAGATTTCCTTGGCCGACCTGTTGGACGTCTGTTGCTCAGCGCACCAGTAGTTTCTTTCTTTTTGCTTGCTTTTCTCCCACAGACAGCTCTCTGCTCTTCATGTTGCTTTATCCTCTTTAACAGGAAATGCAGTCTTTATAGGTTTGAACCAAAGAGGAAAACTTAGACTAGTCATGCAGAGCTATTTAATGTTTGGATCAATCAGCCTAAAAGGCAACAGCTGGGCAACAAGAAACATCTGTCAAACGTCCAGTTTAGAGACAGAACCTGCCTGAGAATCTTCCTGTTTTTAAGTTTCCTTCAGGATAACAGTGAGAGTCACATGTTCCTTCATCACCATGAACACACTCTGCAGTTTATTCTGACTTATTCTTTCTCCCCCCTCAGTCCCGGCTGCAGTGGGCGAGGTGACGGTCAGTAACAACGGTCGAATGGACTTCCTCAGCGTGTCGTGGCGTCCGGCTCCCGGTGAGGTGGACAGTTACCTGGTGACGCTGAGCGACCGCGAGAAGACGCTTCACACCGTCTCTGTGTCCAAATCCAGCCCAGAGTGTGTGTTTAACTCTCTGGTGTCCGGACGACTCTACAACATCTCCATCACCTCCCGCAGCGGCCTCCACCAGAACCACACCTTCGTCCAGGAGAGAACACGTACGTACATCTCTTACTGACTGCAGGCCGGTTTGTGTACAGCTGCCACCGAGGGTCAAATGTTTTCATAGAGGTGCAAAGTAACAAACAATATTTACACAATAAAGAAATGTGAGGAGTCTTTGGCGATTAGCGTCATTGTATTTTCAACATAGTTATAATAATAATATTAATTTTAAAAAACACATTTTAAAATCTTTACATTAGATAATAAAACAGTTCCAGTAAAATTGAAAGAAATAAAGAAAACAAAAAGTGAAATCAGGAGTTGTAAAGAAGTTTTAAAGATAGATTTATCCTTCTTAATGTGTTCGGGTTTCCAGTTTAGATGTGCGAAGCATTTTTCTTATCAAAACAGAGGCCTGCTTAATGCAATAAAACATGTTAATGATGGTGTTATGGGCTGTTTATGGAGAGAAACACAGAGTAAATGTTGCCAAACCATCATGAATGGCAACATTTAAAAAAAAAAATTTAAAAAATCTGTAACATATGGAAGTTCAATGTGGTCTAATGCACATAAAATATAAATATTTCTTATTATTTATTCATGCATTTTTCTCTTTCAGAGCCGTCGAAGGTCCAGAACCCGACGGCGACCCACGCTGCTCGGGACGACTACCTGAAGGTGTACTGGCGTCACGCCGCCGGAGACTTTGACTTCTACCAGGTGTTCATCAAACACAACAACATGTTGCTGCAGAACAAGACGGTTCTGAAGACGCAGAACGAGTGTGTGTTTAGCGGCCTGGTGCCCGGCAGACTCTACACGGTGCTGGTGAGCACCTGGAGCGGGAAATACGAAACCAGCGCCTCTACTGACGGCAGGACCTGTGAGTGACCTTTGACCCCCCCAACACTGACACTCGCTTCACTTCAGCTTCTGGAAACAAAGACATTTAAAATAGTTATTTTAACTACTTAAATAACTAGTTAAACACAAAAAAAAGGCAAATAAAGCTAACAGGTCCTCTCTTGTCCCTCCTGCAGTTCCAGCGCCGGTCCAGTCTCTGGTTCTGGCTGGTCAGGGTACTGAGGACCTGCGGGTGACGTGGTCTGCCGCCCCAGGTGACGTGGATCACTACGAGGTGCAGCTGCTGTTCAACGACATGAAGGTGTTTCCTCCAGTCACTCTGGGCAGCGGCGTGGGAGAGTGTGTCCTGTCGTCGCTCACGCCTGGACGGCTCTACAAGATCCTGGTCTCCACCTTCAGTGGCCCCAACCAGAGGGCCCAGTTCATAGAGGGCCGCACAGGTCGGACTCATTGAGATATTACTGGTGTTTCCCAAAGTAAAACAATCAATTTTGGCTTACCGTTGCTGTTTTAGCTGTTTTCAGTCCAAAAACAGCGGTTGTGTGTGTCATTAGAGATTGGAGTCGCGGGCCGCAATCTTGATGAGGTCAATTAGGTCTTAGCTTTGTTTTATCTACTCAAGATGAAATAGAAAAGAAGAGGTGGTCTTTATCGGCCTCTGCTGGCGACCGGTAGGAGCTACAGACATCCAGTAAACCAATCGATTTGTCTCTTCAATACGAAGAGAACGAGCCACTTACAGCCATGTAGGATGTTCTGTTCTCAAGCTGTGCGCCTGTAAAGCATCGGAGCGCTTTAGGTCGCAGGAATATTGATCAATATTCACTGTTTTTATCAATATTTCAATATTATGTTATATTTTTTCATCAAAGTTACAGTTACACTTGTATTCCAGGTGTATTAGAAGATATTATGTTGCATTATAATGAGTTGGATGATGGTTTTAATGGTGATATTGCTATTAAAATAATCTTTTCCTTTATTGCATCTCCATTTACTCTTTAATAGAAAAATAAATAGGTTCATTTAGCTTCTGACCTATCAGAGGAGACCAGAATTATGCATCTAGGCCTAATGGTTGAGGAGTTATTACTGATTTATTTTGGATTTGTTATTTTAGGCGGTTTTCCTGGAAATAGGTGGCAGGTAAGAGAGTTGTCTGAATCCAAGTTTGGAAAACAACCAAATGAATGATCTTCCATCAGGTCCAGTGTTAGGTGAAGTTGATTTTAGAGGGAGTCAAATTATCTGCATAAAAAGGCATGAATTCTGTTTTTGTGCATGTTTGGATAACTAGCTTCAGCATGTCAGTGTTTCTGCTCTCCAGCAGAGACTAAAGAATCTGTGTGGATATAAAAACGGCGTCTGTTCCCTCCTCAGTTCCCAGTAAAGTGAAGAACATCCACGTCAGTAACAGCGGAGACAGCAGCAGTCTGAAGGTGAGCTGGACTCCCGGTCAGGGCGATGTGGACGGATACTCGGTCTTTCTGTACAGACAGGACAGACAGCTGGACGTCCGACCCGTCTCCAAACACCAGAACGAGGTGACGTTCGGTTCCCTGCAGCCTGGACAGATGTACAGTGTCACGGTTCAGTCTCTCAGTGGAGAGCTGCTGAACAACAACACGGCCGCCGGACGCACAGGTGAGACATCACGACTCTACACAGCTGAAAATACCTGTTTAATTGTGTTGCATAGTACATTATATAATCCTTGCGTCTGTGTGTTCAGTGCCCTCAGCTGTCTCGGGTCTCCAGCTGGAGGACCTGCACTCCACCTGCAGCCTGCAGGTGAGCTGGCAGGAGGCTCTGGGTGTGTCCGATGGATACGTCCTTCAGCTTCTAGATGAAAGAGGCAGCCTGGTCACAAACTCCTCTCAGCCCTCCGGACACACCAGGTACAGGTTTGACGGCCTCATTCCGGGCAAGAAGTACCGGGTCCTGGTACAGACCACCAGCGGGGGGGTCCACAGCCTGGGAGTCAGCTTAGAGGCTCGGACACGTAAGGCTTCCTGTTTCTAACTCTGTCAAGACGGCTTGTCTCTCTGTTGTCTTGTGCTTTTCTGAGAGGGAGTGTTAGGGCCACTACAGGCTGAACATTTCAAGTAAAAAATAAAATGTCAACACACAAAAGGCAAGTGAGAAAAAAAATCTGCTGATCTAAAGTGCTTTCTCTCATGTGTTTATAATTTAAAGAGGTGGTATTCTGCTCATTTCAGGTTCACAATCTTATTCAGGAGTTGTACCAGAGCGGGTTTACATGGTTTAATTTTCAAAAAACACCATGATTTTTTGTCATACTGCACATTGCTGCAGCTCCTCTTGAGGCGCGTTTAGCTTTCCTCCCTGTGACGTCACAGGGATGAAAGGGAAGCGTCTGGACTACAAACGAGCTGTTTTCAGTTCAGAGCAGAGTTTTCTGTGGGAGATAGGAACTCACTTTGGGCTGGACTTTACCAAAAAAGTTATGGAACTCAAGAACTCAATAAAGGAGAGGGAAAAAGCCAAAAAGCATAGCACCACCTCTTTAACAGGTGAAAAAAAAACTTTTGTTAGGATGATTTTGTTGGTGGAAGAAAAATGTTCTTAGGTCGTAAACACAGGAGAGAATTTAGAATCTAGATTTACAAAATGGCCCACCAGATTTTTTTTCTCACTGTGCCCTTCAGGGATTTTGTAGAAAATCATAATTTTAACCCAAAAACTATCTGAAATTGTCTGAAAAGTCAGAATTTTAAGAGAAAAATGTTGAAATTTATTTAGAAAAGAATTTGTGGTCCATGATTTTGTTATTTTCCTGTTTATCATTTTGTGTGGTCAGGTCTCTTTCACTAGATAACAGCATAAAGCACAGCAGCACCTTCAAACTGAGTGTAAACTTTAACTGAATACATGAAGAACAAAGTGACGTTTAACTCCCCCCCCCCAGGTCCTGCAGCCGTCACTGATCTGTCCATTAAAGCCAACACCACCACCAGTCTGTCCTTCCACTGGTCTCCACCAGAGGGAGACTTTGAGCTGTATGAGATCTTCTTGTATAAAAGTGACGACTCGCTGCAGGAGAGTCCACGCAGCCAGTCCAGCAGTCAGCAGTGCTCCTTCCAGGACCTCAGACCTGGAGCTCCGTACCGGATGGTGGTGGTGACCCACAGCGGGGAGCAGAGCAACCAGTCATCCATCTGGGGAAGGACAGGTAAGCGGGGGTGACATATCCTTAAAAGGTCTGTCAAAGGGAAACTCCACTCTTTATGGTTGTAGAGTCAGTTTTGTGGTCACGAGGAGTCGACTCTAACTGTTTAAGCTTCTTAACGTCTTCTGTGTCTCTGGAGGAACTTCTGAATATCAAGGCTGATGATGATGTCATGATGTCATAGTGATGTCATCAGGGTCATCTCAGCTTGGGCTTGGAGACTAAAACTTTATAGATAAAGCACAAGTAAACGAGCACCCATTAAAAGTGCCTTTACCAAGAAAACCTGTAGAAACTCTTCAGTCAGTCATCAACAAGCTGTGAACTGAACTCTGGTCCAGTTTAAACAGATGTTTATAAATCAGCTGCTGGATTCCTCAGTCTGTATTACAACCTGTTGAGGGTCTGATGATGTCATGGGAAATATAGGATCTGGTGTTTTTAGACTAAGAGTCAGGATTTCTCCACCTCTGTGCTGCTCTCCTGTGAGAGCCACATCTTTATGGAAGTGAAATTTTTAAACCTGATATTCATCTGTACAACATATGTTTTTATTAAAATTATGCAGTATTTTATAACTGTTAAAGTACTTCATATCATCATCTCATGTTGTTGTTATTATTGTTTTATCTTTTCTGTTTTATGCATTTTTGTTTAAATAATAATAAATGTTCTACCAGTTTGTTTTTTAAAAATTACAAGATGTTATAAATTATATATATTATATACAGGTGCAGCTGAAACAATTTTAAAATTAAAAATGTTTTGAGCTGCACCTGTAAGTCTGGGTCATTCATCAAACTTTTTATATCCAAATAAAATTCTAAAATATGAATCATCACTTACATCCTACTATTTACAGAACATTTGTTTTATATATGTATGTATATATATACAAATAGTTAATCCATTAAAAAATATATTATTAGTTATTATTAAACCCCGCTCGCAGTAACGTTGACTTACAGGGTGTATCTGTAATGAAGCTCTGTTAAAAGCCTTCGTCCTCTGTCTCCTCGTCTTCAGTCCCAGCAGCTGTGGCGTCTCTGAAGGCTCAGAGTGGAAACGAGTCTGATGCTCTGCGGGTGACCTGGGATCGGGGCAGTGGCGATGTGAGCGGATACCTGCTGACTCTCTACAACCCCGACGGCTCTCAGCGGGCCAGGCAGCAGCTGGGGTCAGAGGTCACCGAGTTCGTCTTCTCAGACCTGGTACCTGGTCGACTGTACGGGGCCGAGGTGCTGAGCCTCAGCGGGGAGCTGAGCAACAAAGCCACCGCCGTGGGCAGGACCGGTGAGACTATAAATAATAGTTTTTAAGAGTCCTGAACCCGATATTACAGTCTGCTCTGGTTTGGTTTGATTTGGGGTGTGTTCCAACACGCTGTAAGTACTACATGACGTCCTGTGATACATCGAATACAAACTCGGTGGTGCTCAGATTCTTAGTTGGCTTCAGTCGGTTCATCCGTACAGGATCACAGCTCCAGTCAGGGGATTAATACCAGGTCTGCAGGTTATCCAGACAGTCACCTGAACATGATTTTATTTTTGATGGTTTCTGTCTGATAAAATGTCCGCTGAACATAATTGGCCAGAACAACTTCACAAGCAGAAAATATTATTTCTTTGCTTTAATTTGTCCAAAACTGAAAAAACAATCGTCTATATGTAAGAACGTGACTCAGGCTGCAGGTTATCTGAACAGCAGCTGCATTTACACAGAATTTTTACGTTTCTCCTGTAAATCCAGGGAGTTCTTATTTAGTTGGAACCGAGCTTGTAATAATTCCATAATATTTCTGTCACTTTATTTGCCCAGATTAACTTCTCTGAAATCACTCAAACCTCTTTATTTATGTCGTTTTTACACTTTTATTCCATGTTTTTTAACCAGCTCACTCAGAAACACACTGTGTTATTCCAATGAAAGCATTAATGCAGAATAAAAATATAATAAATAAAAGTTAAAAACAACGTTTACGTCACCAAACCAGACATTTTCAGATCTAACATGAACATTTAAATGAAGGAGTTTTGTTCATTATTTCACTGTGGGATCAACTGATGACCAGCTGCTCTCTCTGCCTTCATTAATATTATATATACAGTAAGATATATATATAATATAGTAAAAATAAAGCTTCTGAGGGTGGATTAATAGGCTGCTCCGAGGTGTTTTCATGTCCTTCCTCTTCTGCAGAATATCTAAAGAAGATAAAGAAGGAGTTAACAACTTCAAGTTATTCTCTTCTATTTAGATCTGAAAATGTCTGTTTTGGTGACGTAAACATTGTTTTCAACTTTGGCAGTTTGCTGCTGACTTTGGTGACATTTAAAGTTTTTCACTGGACTTGAACTACATAGATTTACAGAAGAACTACAAACATGGAGGCTGTCCTAAAACTTCTGACTGGTAGTTTAAATGTTATTTATACTTTTCTTTATATTCTTCATACTTCACCACAGAATTTGTCATCCACAAGCACTTAAACAGAAACAGATTTTAGTTTTATAGCAGTCAATAATCTGAGGAAGATTTTTTCTGTCCCCCTCAGCTCCCAGACCTCCAACCTCCTTCCTGTTCAGGGGGGTCACCAACACCTCCCTGGAGCTCACCTGGAGCGGCCCCGTCGACTCCGACTATGACGACTTTGAACTCCAGTGGACTCCTCTGGACCGGCTCTCCGTCATCAACCCGTACCACAGCAGAACCTCCGGCAGCCGCATCCTGAGAGGGATGTTCCCCGGACGCCTGTACACCTTCAGCCTCCGCAGCGTCAGCGGGGCCACGGAGGCCGGGGCCACACCGACCTACAGCACACCCATTCACAACAGCATCCGGACCAGTAGGTGGCAGCACTTTAAATCCCTTCAATTTAAAATAGGAAATATTTGACCCTCAAATGGTCGTTCATCAACACAGCTATCTGAAAATACTAAATCATCAACATTAAAACTGTATTACAGACTCAAGGTCCAGATCTGAAAAATACATATAAAGCCTACATACCCACATGCACACGTTCATACTAATACAAAAACATAAAAGACAATTAGTGACCAGGAGACAGTCGCACCAGTGTTTCCACAAACGGGATGGGTAACGTATAGTTCTTAGCCAAATGTTTGTCAAGCCCACAATGTTTTGGTTTTCTGAATCATTAAGCTTGCACATGAATTTACACATGAGGTTTCTTTTTTCTTGTTCATTCCTTTTAAAGCCTGTGAGGAAAAGGAAGAGTGTTGCTAAATCATGTTGTTATTGTTGAGTTTGGTCCACACACAATGTCTGAGTTGATGAGCAGAAGTGCTTCTGGCAGGCAGAAGCACTTGAAGCACACCAGATGGTCAACCTTGTCCCACACACGCATCGTCATCTCAAATGCTTGAATCCTCTTCTCACAGGAAGCGCAGAGACCGTCCCGACCAAAAAGCCTTAGTGGATGAGAAGATACCAGCATAATACTGAAAACATAAAACCTTTGGTCTTTAACATGAAACTTTAAGGAATCCCTTGAGCCTCCATTTAACTACTGTGGATCTTTTGCCTTGACAATATCTGGATTTACCTGTTGGGGGTTTATTCAGGAATAAATAAAGTAAACATTTTGACACAGTGAAGGTCTTTACTCCGGCAGCCACAAACACCTCGCTTGCACAACAGCATCTTGGTCTCCTGAGTAATATTCTCTAGTTTTCTGTAATTTGACCACAAGTGCACAGTACAGAGCTGTGTACAACATGCTTTAAACAGCGATGTCTTTACACCCTTCATCCACGCCCTAAACATGCGTAAAAGAATTAGCTTGTGCATCCATCTCGCAGCATTGCATATAGATATCGTCATCGTCTGTCGTTTGATCTGTGAGAACATGACCAAGATATTTTTACCTTATTTCAAAAACTCAGGTTGCTGTTAGCCAACGACAGGAAGTCACATCAGTCTATAAACACCAGTTTTACCTTTCAAACAAGTTTACTCACATGTTTACATGTATATTAATCGCATCTCCATATTCACATTGACCACACGTCTATATTTAATTGAAATGTTTTAAGCCTGTCCTGCACATTTTCAGTGTTTAAAATACTTTAATGTTGTTGTGTTGAATTGTTTCTTATGTGCTAAAATACATCCTGGTTTAAAATATATATTTGTATATTTTTACTGCATTGGGAGTACTCAGAGGTGTTGTTGTGTCTTGCTGCAGAGCCGGAGCGAGTCCACAACCTCCACTGTCGCCCTCAGAGCTCCACCTCCATTTCCTGCTCCTGGGGGCCCCCGGAGGCCGACTACGACTCCTACACCATCGAGTGTCTCAATCAGGACTCCCAGATCCTGGTCTACTCCCGACGCACCGGCCGAGATTCCACCACCTACCTCATCAACCAGCTGGAGCCCCACAAACGCTACACGGTCTCTGTGAAGGCGATCTCGGATCAGACGACCAGCGAGGAGGCTCAGGACAGCGTGGTCACCATGATCGACCGTAAGCTTAACATGTTCTCATACAGGAAGGACAGAAAACGGGAGCGTGTATGATCTGTCAGGTTTAGAGGAGGACTCGTAAAAACTGTTGGGCAAGTTACTTCCATAATGTAATACATTATAGATTACAAGTTACTGTCATTTGAGAGTAATTAAAGAGGTGGTATTCTGCTTTTTGTCTTTTTCCCCTCTCCTTTACTGAGTTCTATTCCTTTTTTGTGCATGTAACAGGTTTGCAAAGTGAAAAAGCCCAAAGTCTCCCACAGAAAACTCTGAACTGAAAACAGCTGGTTTGTAGTCCAGACGCTTCCCTTTCATCCCTGTGACGTCACAGGGATGAAAGCTAAACGCGCCTCATATAACGCTCGCCGAGCGGTGACTCCGACACGCCCTCAGAAACAGCGAGCTGCAGCACACAGCTCTCCTCTCCCTTCCAAACACTAGCTACCCTCCAGGCAGTCAGTGGACAGAAAGTTGTTCCTGTGATGTAGAGACAGAGCTCAGTTAAAACTTTATGGATACAGATTAATAACTCACCGCTCTGAAACTCTCGCTCCAGTCCGTGTTGCCGAGCCGGTCGGCAACACGGACGGCTGAACCCGAGCCGTTTACCGGCTTCTCGCTGACCCGCCCTTCTCTGCTTCTGATTGGCTAGTAGTCCTTAACTAGGAACTGAGCATGTGCAACTCCCAACAAAGATCATTTAGAGACAAGATGTATCACTCCATATGTGTTCTGGTACAACCCCTAAATAAGATTATGAACCTGAAAATTAGCAGAATACCACCTCATTAATTATATCACAATATTACTGTCTCTGAATTGTAATGCTCCAGCGTTACTTTGAATTCCTTTCACGGCTGTTTAACAGGCACATTATTCTGTTAGTAAGATGCATGGTGGGTTCTAGTGATGTGCAGAACCCACCATGCAGCAGCCTCTCTAATCATGAAAGTAATTTGTTAAAGAAAACACACAGCCTATAGAAATCTATTTACCCACGATCCATCAGTGGAGCTACCGTCTTGTTAAGAGGAGCCGAGCTCCCCCGTAGTTTGCACGTTGACACTGTGTTAACCTGCACATCCTTTAATTGTTTTTAAGGCCGTGCACGTATTGGCTCGTATCACTCGTCCAGCTGTTCCACAGACTCGCCTGATAACAAAGGATGATCGTACTTTTTTTCGGTAGTGGCCCCAAGGTTGTGGAATAAAGTTCCCATTTTCATTAGATCATCCCCAACCTGAGATGTTATTCTTTGGTATCAGTCAAGCGACTTTCATCATTAACTTTCCTGGTTGCTTTTTTCTATTTATTGCTGCAGCTTCATCGCTGTCACATATTTACTATTGCTGTGTGTTCCCTTTTTATCCCTTTTTTATTCTTTTCTTCTTGTTTAAATTTGCATAACTTTGTACAGCACTTTGTTCAACAGTGGTTGCTTTTAAATGTGCTGTAAAAATAAATGGACTTGACTTGACATCCTGCCTCCTCCAGGTCCTCCGGTGCCCCCCATCAGTATCCGGGTCAGTGACCGGTCTGCTGTGGTCACCAAGTCCTCCATCTTCTTCAAGTTTAACTGCAGTTGGTTCAGTGACGTCAACGGAGCCGTTAAATTCTTCACTGTGGTGGTGACGGAGTCTGAAGGTAATGATGTCATAGAGCAAAAGACCTTCTCATTGGTTCAATGTCACGAAACCAGTTACCTTTAAGAATGTAACCAATAATGGACGATCAGCTCAACGCGATTCATTCTTTAAACCTGAATTCAGCTCGAACAAAACAGACTTTTTTTCTTTAGATGAATGGATTTATTCTCCGGCTTGTTTCTGTCCTTTGCTTCTGGTATTTAAAGAGTCTGCTGACGTGCAGCCGGAGCAGCAGCACCCTCTGCCCTCCTACCTGGACTATAAATCCAACAGCTCCGTTAAATCCTACCAGACCAGTTACTTCCCCAGTCACTGCGCCGAGGGCCCCGACAGCAGCTCCCACAGCTTTGAGCTGAGCGTGGGGACGGGGATGGACTCGCTGGGAGGCTCCTGTGACCGCAGAGACTCAGACCTGGATCCAGAGACCAACAGAGACCTGAACCAGTTCTGTGACGGACCACTGAAACCCAAAACTGCCTACAGGTACTGAAGACATGACAACACACACTTTTTATTATTATAGATCTGAAACTAGTAGTAGTAATTAATTACATTTATTCAAGTATTGTACTATTGTACAGATTTGAGGTATTTGTACTTGAATATTTTCTCCTGATATTGTACTTTTTACTTCACTACATTTATCTGACAGCTTCAGTTACTTTACAAAGTCAGATTTTTACACACGAAGAGTTTAAAAAATGTGTTGTTTGGTTTATGAGTACAGCTGAACCGGCAACAACTTTGACGGTTTGATATTAAGTTAAAGAGATTCGGTTTATTTGTTTTCTCAGAAAGATGGAAAGAGGAGCAGAATGTGTAACTTAAAGCTGGAGAGCAGGACTGAAATATTAATTGTATCAAATATTAATGCAGGGATAATGAAGTTTAGCGTCGTGTGCCGCCCTGTGTTTGTGTCTGCAGGCTCAGTGTTCGAGCTTTCACTCAGCTGTTAGATGAAGAGAACAGCGACAACAGCGCCAGGTCTCCGCTCTTCACCGACACGTACCTGTCGCTACCTGTGCTCACCGAGGCTGGTGAGCTGAAAATATCATCAAGCTTTCATCTACAGTCAGAACATTAGAAGTCCTTGTTGGGGAAAGAAATGAAGGAAAGGAAATAAAGACACAACAGTTGAGATGAGAAAAGAAGGATTTATTAATGCAATATTTTGATAGAGTGTGGAGCAGAGTCTGTGGTTCTGGGGAGTTCTGGGTTTGAGGCGGAGCCAGAGAAGAGACGGGAGCCAGGCAGGGAAGCAGATGGTGTAATTCAGCAGTCTAGAAATCCAGAGGGTGAAGTCCGATCTGGATTGAGAGTCCAGAGATCCGTGGATCAGGGTCCAGTGCAACAGGATTTTCACAGAGTGGGGCGTCAGAACCAGGCCCAGGCATCAGGCCCCAGATGTCAGGTCCATGCCCCAGTCTTTGGGTGTCTGATGTCAGGTCCAGGCCCCAGTCTTTGGGCGTCAGATGTCAGGTCCAGGCCCCAGTCTTTGGGTGTCAGACACCAGGTCCAGGCCCCAGGCATCATGCGTCAGGTCCAGATTCCATGTCCAGGCCCCAGTCCTTGGGCGTCAGACGTCAGGTCCAGGCCCCAGTCTTTGGGTGTCAGGTCCAGGCTCTAGTCCTTGGGTGTCAGACATCAGGTCCAGGCCCTAGTCTTTGGGTGTCAGACGTTGGGTGTCAGATGTCAGGTCCAGGCCCTAGTCTTTGGGTGTCAGACGTTGGGTGTCAGATGTCAGGTCCAGGCCCCAGTCCTTGGGTATCAGACGTCAGGTCCAGGCCCCAGTCCTTGGGCGTCAGATGTCAGGTCTAGGCCCCAGTCCTTGGGCGTCAGATGTCAGGTCTAGGCCCCAGTCCTTGGGCGTCAGATGTCAGGTCCAGGCCCCAGTCCTTGGGCGTCAGATGTCAGGTCTAGGCCCCAGTCCTTGGGCGTCAGATGTCAGGTCTAGGCCCCAGTCCTTGGGCGTCAGATGTCAGGTCTAGGCCCCAGTCCTTGGGCGTCAGATGTCAGGTCCAGGCTCTAGTCCTTGGGTGTCAGATGTCAGGTCCAGGCCCCAGTCCTTGGGTGTCAGATGTCAGGTCCAGGTCCAGGCCCCAGTCCTTGGGCGTCAGATGTCAGGTCCAGGCCCCAGTCCTTGGGTGTCAGATGTCAGGTCCAGGCCCCAGTCCTTGGGTGTCAGATGTCAGGTCCAGGCCCCAGTCTTTGGGTGTCAGGTCCAGGCCCCAGTCCTTGGGTGTCAGATGTCAGGTCCAGGCCCCAGTCCTTGGGTGTCAGATGTCAGGTCCAGGCTCTAGTCCTTGGGCGTCAGACGTCAGGTCCAGGCCCCAGTCTTTGGGTGTCAGGTCCAGGCCCCAGTCCTTGGGTGTCAGATGTCAGGTCCAGGCCCCAGTCCTTGGGTGTCAGATGTCAGGTCCAGGCTCTAGTCCTTGGGCGTCAGACGTCAGGTCCAGGCCCCAGTCCTTGGGTGTCAGGTCCAGGCCCCAGTCCTTGGGTGTCAGATTTCAGGTCCAGGCCCCAGTCCTTGGGTGTCAGACGTCAGGTCCAGGCCCCAGTCTTTGGGTGTCAGGTCCAGGCTCTAGTCCTTGGGCGTCAGACGTCAGGTCCAGGCCCTAGTCTTTGGGTGTCAGACGTTGGGCGTCAGATGTCAGGTCCAGGCTCTAGTCCTTGGATGTCAGATGTCAGGTCCAGGCTCTAGTCCTTGGGCGTCAGATGTCAGGTCCAGGCCCCAGTCCTTGGATGTCAGATGTCAGGTCCAGGCTCTAGTCCTTGGGCATCAGATGTCAGGTCCAGGCCCCAGTCCTTGGGCGTCAGATGTCAGGTCCAGGCCCCAGTCCTTGGGTGTCAGATGTCAGGTCCAGGCCCCAGTCCTTGGGCGTCAGATGTCAGGTCCAGGCTCTAGTCCTTGGGCATCAGACGTCAGGTCCAGGCCCTAGTGCTTGGGCGTCAGATGTCAGGTCCAGGCCCCAGTCTTTGGGTGTCAGGTCCAGGCCCCAGTCCTTGGGTGTCAGATGTCAGGTCCAGGCCCCAGTCCTTGGGCGTCAGATGTCAGGTCCAGGCCCCAGTCCTTGGGCATCATGCGTCCATTCTGTAGGCTGGAGATATTGAGCTCACTCTACTATTTGGCAGTGTGTTGAGGCAGGAACCAGTTATTTCACATGCCTTTGTTGTGAGAGACCCGGGTTCAATCCCCCACTGTGACACATCCACCAATCTGTCCCTGAGCAAGACACTTAACCCCTCATTGCTCCAGAGGCGTGCGACCTCTGACATGTAGAGCAATTGTATGTTGCTTTGGATAAAAGTGTCAGCTAAAGGAATAAATGTAATGTATTTGAAGCAGAGCAGAGTGATGATGGCGACAGGTAATCAGAGGCATAAACAGGGAGAGAGAGAAAGAGGCAGAAGCAGTGGCTGTGACACATGTTGAGTTTGAAACCTGCTGCTGTGACAGAGGTGAAACAGTTTAAAGAGAAGTTAAAGGCCCTCTGATGATGAGGGATGTTTGTCCTCCTGCAGAGCCTCTGAGCGGCGTGATCGAAGGCGTTAGTGCCGGCATGTTCCTCATCGTCATAATGGTGGGAGTCACCGCTCTGCTCGTCTGCAGGCAAAAGGCTCGCAAAGTGTGAGTACTAAATGACGGAGGTTTATGAACTGTCACTAACACGACATCTCTAAAGATCCTGACGTGAGCTGGCGGCTCCACCTTCCTCGCCTTGATAAGTAACAGGTAAAAACTCTGCTGTGTTTCAGGGTCGAGGAGAGAGCGACTGTTAGGATGAGTGTGAGGAGAGAGAGACCAGCACCAGGAGTTCATGTGGGGGGCAGAGGGTAAGAAACAAGATGTCATTTTGCAACAAATAAAAGTAAAAGTAAACAACAGAAACAGTGATCTATCAGCAGGTGATTATTGATCACTGGATTTTGTTGACACAGCGTTAATGAAATTAGTGGCAGCTGTCATAGTTCAGAGGAAGGCCACTCCTTCTCCCTGCAGGCAGAAACCGTTTGTGGTTCTTTGTGTTTGAGCTTTACACACTGTGTGACTGTAATTAGATCAGTAGGTCTGAGGTGTGTTTGTTTCTCTCTGATTATTCATCAACACCGACTTCTGTTCCTCCTTTTATTTTTCAGCAACCGTCGAATCTCCAGGTGAGAAATCCAACTTTTGTTTCAGCAGTTCGTCTGTGGTCTTTGGACATTTTCCTTCTTGTTAAAACGTGTTCTTTGTGTCCTTCAGTCCCATCAAGGTCCTGAACTTTGAGTGTCACTACAACAAACTGCAGGCCGACTCCAACTACCTGCTGTCAGACGAGTACGAGGTCAGTTAGCAGGTCCCATCTGCTGTTCAATAAAACTCTCAGACAGTTTCTGTGCAACAAAAGTATCCCGGCAGTTCCTTCAGTTTGTGCATTAAACAGAGAAATAGAAATAGAATAGGAATATTAATAAATATATGCGGACGACTCGGGGGCAGTGACCTTGTTTATGATCCTAGTGGCCTGAGGGTTGTTTCCAAACTGCTGCAGGGAGAAAAGGCCGTTACCCATGTGGTTGGGATCCTAATGATTCTGCTAGCCTTGCTCTTGCAGCGTAAATAGACCACCGCCTCTGATACGTTCAGCCAAGCGAACCAGTCTTTGCAGGGCCTTCGGTCCTGTTTGGTGCTATTTCCGAACCAGCTCTGGATGATGCAGGAGTAGAAATTCCTCAGAATCTGAGGGAGACCCAGAATTTCCTGAAACGTCTGAGGTGCCACAGTTTCTGCCTTGCCTTTCAAATCACTGTGTGCAGCGCCCAGGCAGACTTCTAGGTACTTGAACCTGTCCCCCGTTTCCACGAGGACCCATTGATATTAAGGGGGGTGTTGATCCTGCTTCCTCCCACAAAATCAGCTCTTTACTCTTGCTTATGTTCAGGAGGAAGTTGTTGTTGTCCTGACACCAGTGGGTCAGAACCTCTAACTCCTTCAGGCTGGAAGAGGTTTGTCCCCAGTTGACACTGGAAATGTTTTTAAAGTTGTATTTTGTATGCATATTAATATTTATCAAAAAGTATCAGGTCTCTACAAAAGAGCTTATAAGCAGGGTTGGGAGGGTTACTTTAAATATTTACTCTGAAACAATTACTAATTAATTAGGTATAATCCCCCAATGTGACAAATCCACCAATGTGTCCCTGATTAAGACACTTAACGCCTTGTTGCTCCAGAGGCGTGCGACCTCTGACATAAATAGCAATTGTAAGTCGCTTTGGATAAAAGTGTCAGCTAAATTAATGAATGTAAATGTAATGTACTTACCTGTATTTAGAAACCTAATCTGAGTATCACAAAATGAATGTAACCTGATTACTTTCCATTACTTTTGGATTACCTCAATGCCAAAAATGCAAATAAAGACAAGAGACAAGAAATTTCAGTAAGATAGCTTTTAGGTTGGTGAACTTTAACATTAGCCAACTGGATTTCTGTGTAGCCATGTCGGTCTTACCTGTGTTTCTTTAAATTAGATGTTGACTCCTTGGATAGTGACTGTAAAGTGAATTTTACAGCTGGGAAGCAAAGGCTGTCCTGCACAGTTAAGATGTTCCTATTTTCTGATTTAGAAACAAAATTATTTCAAAATTTCCCCCCAGTGAAGAAGTTTTTGTTTTGTTATGTTGAAAATGCATTTTTAGATTGTAATTCTGTTAATAATCCCCATATAAAATAAATTTCAGTAATCTGATTACTGAATCTGATTCTATTCTATTTGTAACTTTAACGGATTACAGTTTCCTTTTTTCTGTAACCTAATTATGTATTAAGTAATTTCTCCCTGAACCTGATTTTTTCAGCATGATGAATAACCAATTTTATCTTAATATTATTTGCTAGATAATATATATATGTATGTATATAAATTAATAAATAACACTTATAACACTTGTATATGTTTATATAGGAACCTCCGGCTTCATCTCACTCCTGAATCTAATGTCTCAGTGAGTTTCACTTAAACCTCTGCTGCTGTTTTCCTCCTGTCAGGACCTGAAGGACGTCGGTCGTAATCAGCCGCTGGACTCGGCTCTGCTGCCGGAGAACCGCGGCAAGAACCGGTACAACAACATCCTGCCCTGTGAGTGACACGCAGGTCCACATGCAGAGAAGAACGTGGACTCTTCACATCGGTGTGTTCCTCTCTGACTCTGTGGTTTCTGTGTTCAGACGACTCAACGAGGGTGAAGCTGTCCTACGTGGATGATGATCCGTGCTCTGACTACATCAACGCCAGCTACATCCCTGTAAGATCATCATCATCATCATCATCATCACTGTGTCGTGACTGAACATGTGACACAGATTTATATGACAATAAGTTAAACCACGTCATTGAAAAGAAACAGAGGAGACTGTGCTAATGTTCCCTTTCAATATATTTTATATACACACAGTGTGTTAATTTAAATAGTCATACTTTCTGTTTATGTCACATTGCTTTTCCTCAAACCACTTTTCCTTATTAGTTAAAACTGATTGTTCATTAACGCAACCCTGTATACAGGATAAGTGGTTGACAATGGATGGATGATTGTTCATGAAAACATCAAACTGGTTCATTTTATTTGCATCACAGCATAATCACATAGCTGATCAGACAGTAGGTCTGAGATAAAGGAGACAAAAGACTAATTAGAATTTTAAAAAGTGGGTAAGGACATTCTTCCTTTAGACTGTAAAGATCTTACAAAGCACACATTAAACTCACATTTTCACCCAGTTACTGTTGTGAGGAGGCAAATCCACGTCTGATATGTTTTAAATGGGAACTTTTGTCATGTCCCTTTATTTTGGCACAGAGCCTTTTTAAATTTCTCTGAACCGTTGTGTTTCAGTTGGACCTTTTTTCAAGGATCAACGTTAATAATATGCGTTTTTATTATACATGACCAGAACTTTCTTTGAACATCTCCAAAAGCAGGCGAGTCCCAGCTGTCGAAATACACTTAATACACAAACGTGACTCACCAGGATCCATCGGGTTGATAACGAGGTGTTGTGTTTGGTCAATGAAACATCTCTTCATATGTTCTGTAAAGTTTTAAAGTTCCTCCTGTGTGTTTTCAGGGGAATAACTTCCGTCGGGAGTACATCGCCACACAGGGTCCTCTGCCAGGAACTAAAGATGATTTCTGGAAGATGGTTTGGGAGCAGAACGTCCACAACATCGTGATGGTGACTCAGTGTGTGGAGAAAGGCAGGGTGAGTTTATATACTGCAACAGTTTGGGCGATGACTTCAGTGCTAATGTTTGGTTTGTCAATTAATATGTATCATTCAGTCATCAATAAATACACACACAGCTGTTTGTGTATAAAAGACTCTGCGTGGTCTGTAGTACGACTGTATGATTCATTCATCACATGTATCAAAACCATCATCTGTTCACATGTTACATCCATGTCACGCATGTCACATGTTATATACATGTGACCCATGCTACACACGTTAGACACATGTTCCACACTGTACATGTTACATCTGTGTTAAATACACATTACACAGTAACACACCTGTAACGCACATGTTACAAGCTGATGTTACATACATGTCACATCCATGTTACATCTATGTTACACACATTACATCAATGTTACATCCATGTCACACATGTCACATGTTATATTCATGTGACAAACGTGACACACATGTTAGATACATGTTCCAAACTGTGCAAATTACATCTGTGTTACACATGTTAAATATCTGTAACCTACATGTTACAAGCTGTAAATGTTACACACATGTCACACACATGTTAAATACACGTTACATCCATGTTACATCTATGTTACACACGTTACATCAATGTTACATCCATGTCACACATGTCACATGTTATATACATGTGACACACGTGACACACATGTTAGATACATGTTCCAAACTGTGCAAATTACATCTGTGTTACACATGTTAAATATCTGTAACCTACATGTTACAAGCTGTTACACACATGTCACACACATGTTAAATACACGTTACATCCATGTTGCACACTTCCCATGTTACAAACATGTGACACACATGTTACACACAATTTAGATACATGTTATACACTGTACTGTTACATCTGTGTTACACACGTTATTCATATTACATACATGTTAAATACATGTTACACACCTGTAACACATGTTGCCAGCTGTAAATGTTACACACATGTCACACATGTTAAATACACGTTACGTCCATGTTACACACTGTACATGTTACATCTGTGTTACACACATAGCACACAAATTACATCTGTGTAAAATGCATGGTACACATCTGAAATACATGTTAAACACATGTTAGATGTGACACATGTAATGCACCTGTTACAAGCTGTAAATGTTCCACGCGTCACACACATTACATACACGTTTCATCCATGTTACATCTATGTTACACACGTTACAACCATGTTATGAATTGTACATGTTGCATGTTAAATACATGTGACACCCTGTGTCCAGGTGAAGTGTGACCACTACTGGCCGTTTGATCAGGACCCTCTGTACTACGGAGACTTGATCGTCCAGATGCTGTCAGAGTCTGTTCTTCCTGAGTGGACTATACGAGAGTTCAACATCTGCAGTGTACGTAAAATGATCAAGTGGTGTTTGACTCTTTAATATCAGTTTCCTCTGATGTGTTGGCTGCTTCTTTATATCACTATTTATTATAGAACAAATACTGAAGCTGAACGAACAGACGTCTTGTGTAATTGTTTTACAACCGTAATAGTTATCACCTAATTAAATGGACTTATAGTGTTAAAGCAAACGTAAAAAGTGAAAGTACTTGTTCATACAGCAGCTGAAAGGTAAAGTCGCTGGACGTGTCTGAGACATGTTTAGAAAATAAACCAGAATAAATGTCCTGTTTCATCAGATCTCTCATGTACTCAGCAACAGTAAAGCCGCCACAACATCACGTGTCCTTTAGTTTTGACTGTGTGGAAATGTTCCTTTAATGTCAAATTTAAAAATATTTCATAAAAAGAAGTTAAGACTCCATGTTGTGTTATGACAGTTTCGTGTCATAATGCTGTGTCTCTGTGCAGGAGGAGCAGCTGCGCTTCACTCGGCTGGTCCGTCAGTTTCACTACACAGTGTGGCCGGATCACGGGGTCCCAGACACCACTCAGTCCCTCATCCAGTTTGTCCGGACCGTCCGGGACTATGTCAACAGAAGTCCTGGATCTGGACCCACCGTGGTCCACTGCAGGTACATGACAAGGACACCATCATGAACTCGACTTTTTAGAGTCAGTAAATGACATCAAGATTCCTTTATTGTATAATAAGTGTTATAAACAAGTGTTTATTACAGAAGTGATTTTACTTTTTCAAATTCATAGTAGACGTTATCTCATTGCACTTTTCTTATAGAGAAGGTCTAGACTGTACTCTTTTTAATTTTATTTACAGAGACCCAACAATACCGTAATTCTGTCCACTAAAACATGTTAAAATCACACATTCACCCCCTCCAAACCCCCATCGCCTCAAACAGAATGACCTGAAAAACAAATGAGAGACACAAAGTGGAGCTCAACAAAGATAACCAGTGGTGGACGAAGTACTCAGGTCCTTTACTTGAGTAAAAGTACTGCATTGAAAATGTTACTTAAATAAAAGTATTTAATCAGGAAAATGTACCTAAAATAGTAAAAGTACTTAATGCAGAATGAAAATGTCCGTTGTGACTGTTATACTGATATATATTTTATCATTAGATTATTATTACTCATGCATTCATGTAGTTGGTTGACTGTGAACTATTTTGTATCAGACTGCAGTTAATGATTATTTTTATTATGGATTAATCTGCTGATTATTTTCTCCATTAATCGACTGTAAAACTTCTGAAAATAGTGAGAAATGGTGTCACAGTTACCCAGAGCACAAAGTGACACCTTCTCAATGCTTGTTCTCTCAATTTAAACCTCAAAACAAAAATAATCAAAATGAAAAGCAGCAAATCGTGAAAAAATGACTTCAACGATTATGAAAATAGTTGCCAATTAAATTAAATTACATCAACTAATGGACCAGCTGTACTTGCATAAACTGTTGGAGTTTAATTTATTACTAATAAATAAACTCTTCATGTGTTCTGTGTGTAAAAATCTGACTTTGTAAAGTAACTGAAGCTGTCAGATAAATGTAGTGAAGTAAAAAGTATAATATCTCCCTGTGAGATGGAGCAGAAGGAGAAAGTGGCATGAAAAGAAAACTCCACTCTAGTACAAATACCTCAAATTTTTACTTAAGGACAGTACTTGAGTAAATGTCCACCACTGGAGATAACTGAGCTGAGGTTGTGGTGTTATCGGGAGAAGCTGCTCATGAGACAGAATCCTGCTCATTACTTGTATTTGTTAAAGCGAGTGGTTTTTAACTGGAGTTTGGTGTGTGTGTGCGTCAGTGCTGGTGTGGGCCGTACAGGGACCTTCATCGTTCTGGATCGAGTGCTGCAGCAGCTGGACACCAAGGACACGCTGGACATCTACGGCTCCGTCTTTGACTTGCGACTCCACCGATCACACATGGTGCAAACTGAGGTAGGAAGACACTGACAGCAGGGAATTATGGGGATTTTACATGAGTTTACACGTGTTTTTGCAGTGATACCGGGGCCAAACTCAAAGCTCTGTAATCTACAGTATGATCTGGTGCAGAGATGTTGAAAAAATGAGCTATCATCAGCTTTTCTTTTCTCACATCCTATTGACACTATATTTAATGGAGTCATTTACACTGTTCCATCATAGCTGGATTCAGCGGTCATTGTCGGGCCCCTATCATGGTATTTGAATAAACACCACTTTATTTAGAAACATGTACCATGTGAGCACAGGCCCCCAGACACACCGAGGTCCAACACTAACACTGCAGGGCCCGCCTCAGCTGATGATGTAATTTAGTGGTTCAAGTTCTTGTGCAATTCTTGAAACGACCGAAACCCACAAGGCACCTGGTGAATCTGGGCCTGTTGGGGCCCTTGGAAGTCTAGAACGGTGTGACTCAACCGTGTTGCAATGACCACAAGCGATTACTGTGCTGAGTAATGTGTGTTTGGAAAGCGTCAGTCCATGAGATGTTACAGTAGCCTGTGTATAAGATGGCACAGCAGAAATATATCAGTGAATTTAGATATTTTAATCATCTTTAAATGATGATTCATTCAGTGTGTCATACTTTGTTTTCACGCCGACAGGATCAGTCAGGATCTATTGATAATTAATGTTCTGTGTTCTTCTACACATCCAACAAGCCACACACACAGTCCAGGTTCATACAATTAAACTGTAAAGCAGCCGTCCTCCTGATCAGTCCTGAGATCTATCAGAGCGTCTAAATGATTTTAGAGGCTAAAAGCTGAATTCTGTTTCCTGTTCCTCTGAGTTCCTCTGTCCTGTCATGTCAACGTTAAAACTCGTTTTTTTGGTTTTGCTGCTTAAATGCTCCACGATATTTGCTGCGTTACTGCACATGGAAACATTTAAAATGACTTAAAGCAGCCTCTTTAATCATGAAAGTAAAAGAAAACACTCATACATCAATAAAACACACAATAAAGAGAGAGAGATGTGACCCACGACGGTTCATCATAGTTCCTGATAATGCAGCGCATTGAGGAGACGGCGTCTGTCTGTTAACAGACTCCAGTCTGTAGTACAGTTCAGTCACATAACCATGACTTCAAAGTCCAACCCTTTTGAACCATGCGCCTGGCGCACTGACCCTTTTTTTCTGCTGTTTAACTACAAAAATAGCGCCATGTGCTTCAAGCCGTGTGCTCAGATCGTTAAAATAGGGCTCTCTGTGTAAAGCTTGATTTTTACTTCTGCGTCAAATCTGCACCGTACCCTACATCGCAGCCTGACGTGCACCTCCTCAAAAATGTAACTGCACGTCGCAGTCGATAACATTGGACGCTATAATGCTACGCCAACTAGCGTTTTGCTGGTGTAAATGCAGGACAACGCAGACACCAATGCACAAGTAACCAATGCAGGGCTACGTACGTAGCTTACTCCGTTGGCTACAGCGTAGACTCGACGCAGAAGTATAAATCAGGCTTAAATGTGACGTAGTTTCTCCTCTCTGTGTTTTCTCCACCTCGGTGTTATTGTGACGTGGTTTCACCTCTCTGTGTTTACTCCACCTCGGTGTTATTGTGACGTGGTTTCTCCTCTCTGTGTTTACTCCACCTCTGTGTTATTGTGACGTGGTTTCTCCTCTCTGTGTTTTCTCCACCTCTGTGTTATTGTGACGTGGTTTCTCCTCTCTGTGTTTTCTCCACCTTTGTGTTATTGTGACGTGGTTTCTCCTCTCTGCGTTTTCTCCACCTCTGTGTTATTGTGACGTGGTTTCTCCTCTCTGTGTTTTCTCCACCTCTGTGTTATTGTGACGTGGTTTCTCCTCTCTGTGTTTTCTCCACCTTTGTGTTATTGTGACGTGGTTTCTCCTCTCTGCGTTTTCTCCACCTCGGTCCTCCTTGGTGTTATTGTGACGTGGTTTCTCCTCTCTGTGTTTTCTCCACCTCTGTGTTATTGTGACGTGGTTTCTCCTCTCTGTGTTTTCTCCACCTCTGTGTTATTGTGACGTGGTTTCTCCTCTCTGTGTTTTCTCCACCTTTGTGTTATTGTGACGTGGTTTCTCCTCTCTGCGTTTTCTCCACCTCTGTGTTATTGTGACGTCGTTTCTCCTCTCTGTGTTTTCTACACCTCTGTGTTATTGTGACGTGGTTTCTCCTCTCTGTGTTTTCTCCACCTCGGTGTTATTGTGACGTGGTTTCTCCTCTCTGTGTTTTCTACACCTCTGTGTTATTGTGACGTGGTTTCTCCTCTCTGTGTTTTCTCCACCTTTGTGTTATTGTGACGTGGTTTCTCCTCTCTGTGTTTTCTCCACCTCTGTGTTATTGTGACGTGGTTTCTCCTCTCTGTGTTTTCTCCACCTCGGTGTTATTGTGACGTGGTTTCTCCTCTCTGTGTTTACTCCACCTTTGTGTTATTGTGACGTGGTTTCTCCTCTGTGTGTTTTCTCCACCTCTGTGTTATTGTGACGTGGTTTCTCCTCTCTGCGTTTACTCCACCTTTGTGTTATTGTGACGTGGTTTCTCCTCTCTGTGTTTTCTCCACCTCGGTGTTATTGTGACGTGGTTTCTCCTCTCTGCGTTTTCTCCACCTCTGTGTTATTGTGACGTGGTTTCTCCTCTCTGTGTTTACTCCACCTATGTGTTATTGTGACGTGGTTTCTCCTCTCTGTGTTTTCTCCACCTCGGTGTTATTGTGACGTGGTTTCTCCTCTCTGCGTTTTCTCCACCTCTGTGTTATTGTGACGTGGTTTCTCCTCTCTGCGTTTACTCCACCTTTGTGTTATTGTGACGTGGTTTCTCCTCTCTGTGTTTTCTCCACCTCGGTGTTATTGTGACGTGGTTTCTCCTCTCTGCGTTTTCTACACCTCTGTGTTATTGTGACGTGGTTTCTCCTCTCTGTGTTTACTCCACCTTTGTGTTATTGTGACGTGGTTTCTCCTCTCTGTGTTTACTCCACCTCTGTGTTATTGTGACGTGGTTTCTCCTCTCTGCGTTTTCTCCACCTCTGTGTTATTGTGACGTGGTTTCTCCTCTCTGTGTTTACTCCACCTTTGTGTTATTGTGACGTGGTTTCTCCTCTCTGCGTTTACTCCACCTTTGTGTTATTGTGACGTGGTTTCTCCTCTCTGTGTTTTCTCCTCCTTGGTGTTATTGTGACGTGGTTTCTCCTCTCTGTGTTTTCTCCACCTCGGTGTTATTGTGACGTGGTTTCTCCTCTCTGCGTTTTCTCCACCTCTGTGTTATTGTGACGTGGTTTCTCCTCTCTGCGTTTTCTCCATCTCGGTCCTCCTTGGTGTTATTGTGACGTGGTTTCTCCTCTCTGTGTTTACTCCACCTCGGTGTTATTGTGACGTGGTTTCTCCTCTCTGTGTTTACTCCACCTTTGTGTTATTGTGACGTGGTTTCTCCTCTCTGCGTTTTCTCCACCTCGGTGTTATTGTGACGTGGTTTCTCCTCTCTGTGTTTACTCCACCTTTGTGTTATTGTGACGTGGTTTCTCCTCTCTGCGTTTTCTCCACCTCTGTGTTATTGTGACGTGGTTTCACCTCTCTGTGTTTTCTCCATCTCGGTCCTCCTTTGTGTTATTGTGACGTGGTTTCTCCTCTCTGTGTTTTCTCCACCTCGGTGTTATTGTGACGTGGTTTCTCCTCTCTGTGTTTTCTCCACCTCGGTGTTATTGTGACGTGGTTTCTCCTCTCTGCGTTTTCTCCACCTCGGTCCTCCTTGGTGTTCTTGTGACGTGGTTTCTCCTCTCTGTGTTTACTCCACCTTTGTGTTATTGTGACGTGGTTTCTCCTCTCTGTGTTTTCTCCACCTCTGTGTTATTGTGACGTGGTTTCTCCTCTCTGTGTTTTCTCCACCTCGGTCCTCCTTGGTGTTCTTGTGACGTGGTTTCTCCTCTCTGTGTTTACTCCACCTTTGTGTTATTGTGACGTGGTTTCTCCTCTCTGTGTTTTCTCCATCTCGGTGTTATTGTGACGTGGTTTCTCCTCTCTGCGTTTTCTCCACCTCGGTCCTCCTTGGTGTTCTTGTGATGTGGTTTCTCCTCTCTGTGTTTACTCCACCTTTGTGTTATTGTGACGTGGTTTCTCCTCTCTGTGTTTTCTCCACCTCTGTGTTATTGTGACGTGGTTTCTCCTCTCTGTGTTTTCTCCATCTCGGTCCTCCTTGGTGTTCTTGTGACGTGGTTTCTCCTCTCTGTGTTTACTCCACCTTTGTGTTATTGTGACGTGGTTTCTCCTCTCTGTGTTTTCTCCACCTCTGTGTTATTGTGACGGGGTTTCTCCTCTCTGTGTTTACTCCACCTTTGTGTTATTGTGACGTGGTTTCTCCTCTCTGCGTTTTCTCCACCTCGGTGTTAATGTGACGTGGTTTCTCCTCCCTCCTCAGTGTCAGTATGCGTACCTCCATCAGTGTGTTCGTGATGTTTTGAGAGCCAGGAAGCTCCGCAGTGAGCAGGAGAACCTCCTCTATCCTGTCTATGAAAATGTGAACTTCAACTCCCAAAGAGGTGAGTGATCATCAAAGCTGCAGCTCATTGATGAGGACATACATCAGCTCACTTAGAGACATTAGTTACAAAAACTGCTCATCAAATTAATTTATATTTATATATTGATCCTTTTCCCACAGAGATGCTGTGCGCCAGACGTTAAAGATTGTTATGACTACTGAGCGATATGTTGAGCACTACAGGGAAACATGGCAATTCTATTTTTTTTACATTATTAATGTGTATAGAATGTTTATAGAAAAAACTTTATTACTAACAACTATTATTTATGTAACATACAGAATTAATGACAACAGAACTGTACATATACTTCCATCCTATCTGTGTGTATTTGTATATATTTTATCAAACATTTCTATAATGGATGCTTTTTAAATTGTGTGTTTGTGTTTTATAAGCTATAATATTTGCACATTACAGTTAAACAAATCATACAAACCAAAGTCTTTCACATGCTTTTCCAAACTCTGTGTGATGCTGAAGGATTTTAGTTTCCAGTATGTTTTTTTCTTTATGTTTCTGTCAAGACAAACTGCATCATGTTGCCAACAATAGTGAGACTCTGTCGTGGTTCACAATGAATGGATGGATTACTGAACGGGCCCCTACATGGCACCAGGGGCCCCGAGGCGTCAAGTATGAGTGGACTGTTATAAACTTCACAGAGCTCAGTCCTGCATTAAACGTTAGTGTAGTTTCAAACTGCGTCCTCCACACTGAACATGATCACCTTCATGAAGGAGGATTTATTACTAGACTGCTGGACTAGACTGATTTAGTTTGATGGTTCCTGAGTAGTGTCTGCTGGCGTCCTCTCAAGGCTTAACCCTGAGTAGTGTCTGCAGGCGTCTTCTCTGGACGTAGCCCTGAGTAGTGTCTGCAGGCGTTCTCTCTGGCCCTAGCCCTGAGTAGTGTCTGCAGGCGTCCTCTCTGGCCGTAGCCCTGAGTAGTGTCTGCAGGCGTCCTCTCTGGCCGTAGCCCTGAGTAGTGTCTGCAGGCGTCCACTCAGGCCAAAGCCCTGAGTAGTGTCTGCAGGCATCATTCATTTAGACAGATATGACAACATGTCCTGTTTTGACCATGTCCTGCAGGAAGTTGTTTCTTTATAACTGTGCATTTTTGGATTATCAAATGCATTTAATAACTTTTGATCATTAGTGACCATAGAGTCTGTGTGCACAAATTGGTGTAGATCGGACTCTCTGTTTAGGAGGAGTTAAAAAAATGCCTTCGGGCTTGGACCCCTAAAAACAACTCTGTTCTGCTCATTAACCTATATCTGGATGTTGGCAGCTGGACAATCAGAGGACACTTTAAAATAGATATTACTGAGTAAATTTACCTTAAACTATAAAAATGAGATGGACAAAAATAACTTTCAGAAAATTTTATTCCCGCCTGGAAACGACATTCTTGAGTTTAGTTAACCTGCACAATGTTTCAGGGAATTCTGTGAATGTACCGAGGGGCCTGTTGTTTAGTAATCCATCCAGTCATAATGTTTTCACTGTGCAAATAAAAGCTTAAAGCTCCTGAAAAATTGGTTTCAAACTTGGAGAAATGTCTCTAACACCAAATGTTCATGAGGATATACAGTAAGCAAAAATCACAGCTGAAGTTTGGAAAAAACATCCATAGGTTTTATTTATTAAGAGTTTCAAAACTCACAGGTGATTTTTTGATCAGAAGAGATAAAAACAGCACCGACTGAAATATCTCTTGTGAAATAACTCAAAAATTGTGTAGAACTCAGTCACGCATGAGAGGCTGATTAAGAAAATGTGTTTTCAGGGCTTTAAATTTGCATCTTGTATCAGTGAAATATGTTTTTAATCCTAAATGTGTGCAAGATATCATCTGAGCATTATGTTTTACCACGACCTGAACTGTTCTTCATGGTGTTAGAGCATACTGTATGTGAGAACAGTTAATTAAACACAACAGAGAATGTAGAAATATTATGACTATTCATGCATTATCGACGCCAACCTGCTCCAACACGACTGTAAACTCACTGTGATGGAATCCTTCATGTCAATAATCAGATTTATGTCTCTGTGAGCGTTCAATCTTTGGCTCCGTGTGCATTACTCTGTGTATGACGCATATTTGTGGGTGTTTGAATAAAACAAGTAATTATGTATTTTTTCAGATGAATTTCTGTTAGTCATTCATTAAGCCTCCGCTGGGAGAGGCCCCGGCTATCCCAAACCACACGGGCCCCACGCATGCGCACTGCCGCGGGGCTTCACCACATTGGAGGCTGCCTGGAAGTCTCGGAAGTTTAGCCAAGTTGCAGTGATTTAGCCCGACAGGCTAGCAGCGGAAAACACGGTCCGACCGCAGCAAACTTGGTTTTCGGCGTGAAAAAAGTGCGTTTGGACGGAACCTCGCACCCCGCAGTGAACCCCCGAGGACCACCCATGGATCTAAACCTCTTTTCACCGCTTCATCTGCGCGAACACGAGCGTTAGACACATTTGAAAGAAGTTGTGATTGTTTTTTTTTTGGCGCTCTGGCAGCAGCAGAGGAAAGATGGAGGCTCTGCTGGTGTAGCTAGCAGCGGGCTAACGCTAGCTGGCTTGTTGGTTCACTGGCCAGCGTCGTTTTTTTTTTTTAGGGACAAATTCAAAGCTGCTTCACCAAACTGTGTGTGAATGTCCGGGAAGTGTGGACGCTGTAATTCATCACGCTAACTCTGCCTCGTGAGTATGACTCTGTTTTTATTTAACGTTGCAGTTAAAGAGGGACGGGCTAGCAAGCGGAATGCGTTGGTGTGTTCGCCGAACTGTAAGTTAGCCTCGGAGCTAATTAGGTAGCTGAAATCTGTGTTAGCTTATTCAACCAGCAAGAGAGGTCAGTTTAGCTTTGTGCTAACCAGCTGCCATTACACTACCATCACACCACACCGAGAGAAAGCAGTTAGTCAGTCCAGGGATTCAGACTGGAGCTGCTGCTGCTAACTAACTTGTACAAACTTGTAAAACTTAGTTAGCAGCACTTAGTTTTTAATCCGGCGGCTGCTCGTTGGTGTGAGTCGGTAAACACCCAAACAGGGTTCACTGGTACTCTGGAGCTTTAATAGAAAGTGATAGTGAAGATTAGTTGGACTGGATTTAAACACTGTCTCATTAAACTTGAGTAGATAAAGGTGAGTAACGTGTTAATACAGCAGACCAGCAGCTGACCTGAAGGATTGTTTACATTAAATAGTACATATGTGCTAATTATTTAGTTTAATAACCTGTAAAAGACTGAACAATTAATCGAAATCGCAATATTTCTTTCTGCAATTGTCAAATCGCAAGAGGTGAAATATTTGTTAAATGCATAATGTGTGTCAAAATATTAATTAAACTTTTTTGCAGTGGGTTTGAAACTGTCCCCAAGACAAATTTTTTTTTTTTACTGTCCCTCCCTCCAAAAGTTATGTTATTCTGTTCTGTTGTTTATTAGATACATCCTAGATCTAAAAAAAACCCTAAACAAATGTAATTGCAGTTCATTCAATTTATGAGAAATAAAAAGGTAATAATAAACAATTTACTTTGAAAACATAACATACTAACAGACTGCTGCCAACTAACTGGTACAAACTTAGTTAACAAGTAGACTAAGTTAGTTATCATTAATGGTTTGACTGGATTTAAACACTCCCGTTAAACTTAATTAGTTAAAGGTATATAGAGCAGAAGTGCAGCTGAACTAAAGATGTTTAAATTAAGTAGTACATGTGTGCTAATAATTTAGTTTTATTAACATGTAATGGACTGAACAATTCATCCAAAATGTCTCGAAATCGCAGTTTTACTTACTGTAATTTTCAAATCTTAAGAGGTGCAATATTTGTTAAAGGCAAAATATTAATTTAAATCATAGGACTCAACCTCAAACTTTTTTTGCAGTGGGTTTGAAACTCACTGACCCCAAGACAATTTTTACTGACCCTCCCTCCAAAAGTTGTAATTTATTAGTGTTACAACAAAACTAAAGACTATGTTATGTTACTCTGTTAACATCTTTAATTGTTTACTGGATGTAAAAAAAAAATAAAAATCTATACATAGATGTAATCGCAGTTCATTAAATTTATGAAAAATAAAAAGGTAATAAGCAATTTACTTTTAAAACAAAACATACTATGAGACTGCTGCTAACTAACTTGTACAAACTTAAGTTAACAAGTCGACAAAGTTGTTTATCGTTAATAGTTTGACTGGATTTAAACACTGTCCCACTGTCTCTCATTAAACGTGATAAGTTTAAGCTACATATTCTGCAAACCTACAGCTGACCTACAGGTTATTTTCATTATTGAGTATGTGTGTGTGTTCATTTTTCTGTTAATACTTTAGTTTAATACATGTAAAGAGTAATGACACGCAATCAGAATAAGAAATACTTTAGTGATCCCAGAGGGAAAATTCTTTGTTAAAGTTGCTCACTTTGCAAATCAAGATATTAAGGAATAGAAAGTAGGTTAATAGAAAATATACAAAAATCTATTGACAGCGGAAGACAACGCTGCGCAGATTTTTCAGTCTTTCTGAAGTCCGGTCGTAGTTTAGTTTTCATGACGGCGCAGAGGGAAACTTGATTGAAGAAAATAACCTTATAGTGAACGCAGGGTGAGTTAACATTTAGTTTTGGTTTGTCTCTCTGACTTGCTAACAGTGTGTAAACTGAAGCTCTCGGTGTTGCATAAACCCCATGTACTTTAATATCCACTTCTTTTAATAAAAGCATCTACACATGACAACTAATAACTAACAGCTGTGAGAGGACGTCCAGGACAGATGAGAGGTGGTTTGATGTCAGTACATTCAGAAATGAGCAAACTGTTGAAATTACAATGTTGCACTGCGCATAAATAATTATTAAATTAAATACATACATACTTTTCTTAACTTTTCTTTAAAGGTGGACTCTATCTAAACTGGCAGTCGTCTGAGATTTTTATATTGAAAAACAATTGATTGAAATGGATCGTATTGACCTTTTCAGACGGTCCCTAACTCCTCCTACAATAACAGGAGCGTTGCCTGTTCGTCACCTTTGGTGATTTTCAGGTGATCAAACTGAATCAGCTCTCCCAACAGAACTGGGAGAAATCCAGGCTTTGACTCTGAGCTGCTGAAGGAAACAGCCGTGAAACTAACTTCACCTGGTTTCTAAACTCTTTTCTGTCGGACGAGTCGAGGCGGAGCTGTGGTCGCACTCGTTATGTTCTACGTGTCGGAGCTTCAGTACCGAGCAAAACAAGTACTGAGCGTTTTTCAGAATTCTGGTATCGATATGGTGCCGAATAGGGCTGAACGATTAATTGCATTTGCGATATTATCGCGATATGATAAAACAAGTTTTCTAATCGCGCTCTGGTCACATGACACGCGAGAGTAAAGCAGTCTGCAGACGAAGCATCAACTTTCGCACGTTACGCTGTACCTTGACTTGTTGTTGTACAACGGCCTTAAGCTTGAGGCTGCGGGGGAACTCCGGTGTTGTCGGAGAATTACAGCTAAAATACAGTTCACACTGGTAAACTGTGTTTTTCTTGTGGTCTGTAGGCCGACCTGATGATGATGATGTTATATTATTTAATTCCATGACTTGACTCTCAAAATATCTTTCTCATATTATTATAATTTGATATTTCTTCTCCACCATTGCTCATAATAATAATTAATGCAATTAAAGCATCACCTAATTTCATCATAACACAGGCCTGGCCTACAAGAAAGAACAGTGTGTGTTTAATCTGTTGGACAGACTATACATCGATTTATTGCTTGTCTGTTTTGAATAATACAGACGGTAAAGAGCTTAAAAATTTATCGCACATGAAATTGCAATATTGGTTAAAAAAGAAAAATCGCAATTAGATTATTTTCCAAAACCATTCAGCCGTAGTACCGAACTATCTGTTCTCATGACTTCTCTAGTAAAAAGTAATAAAAAGTCACCAGAGCTGGAAGTTGTTCCTAATGTTGGCTTAATTTTTCCAAACTCTCCTTAAGAAATTGAGTTTACAACAACATGAGTCGGAGGAAAGCAAGGTGTACTGTGTGATCAGTAGGCTTTAGCTTCATTCTTTAATTTTTTTCATTTCAGTTTGAGTCAGTCTGTTAGCCTGAATACAACCTTCAAATGCACGATACAATTGCAAAACTTTTTCACAACAACAAATTTGACTATATTTGTAATAGACAGTGGCAGCGCCGACAGTTTGTCGGACTTTGCAACAGTAACTGAGGGGGGGGGCTTAGCAAAGTGTTACTTTATAAATAATAAATTTAATAATAAATACAAATATTTGTGAGTTCCAGTTTCTGAAATGTGAATATTTCCTCTTCTGTCATTATAAACTGAATCTCTTTGTGTTTTAAACTGTTGGTCGGATCAAACGAGACATGTTGGACTCCACGTCAACAGTGAATTGAGAAACCAATCGGGAAAATAATCTATAATGAAAATCATTGTTACTTGCAGCCCTCTGACAATACGTATGAACACAAACGTTGACTAACAGCCAATCACATTATCTAAATATAATTATAAAGTGAAGGTCCCACATGGTGACGTAGCGCACAGACGAGACAGCGAGCCGTGTTTAAAAGACTAACATCACTTAGAAACAGCGTGTGGAAGCTGCGACATTATGTACGTTTATTAATCGATTATTAAAACGGGCAGACAGACGGGCAGACAGACGGACAGACAGACGGGCAGTCAGACGACAGACAGACGGGCAGTCAGACGGACAGAAAGAGGAAAGACAGACGGACAGAAAGACGGGCAGACAGACGGGCAGACAGACGGGCAGACAGACGGGCAGACAGACGGGTAGACAGACGGACAGAAAGAGGAAAGACAGACGGGCAGTCAGACGACAGACAGACGGGCAGACAGACGACAGACAGACGGGCAGTCAGACGGGCAGTCAGACGGCAGACAGACGGCAGACAGACGGGCAGACAGACGGGCAGTCAGACGACAGACAGACGACAGACAGACGGGCAGTCAGACGACAGACAGACGGGCAGACAGACGACAGACAGACGGGCAGACAGACGGGCAGACAGACGACAGACAGACGGACAGAAAGAGGAAAGACAGACGGGCAGTCAGACGACAGACAGACGGGCAGTCAGACGACAGACAGACGGGCAGACAGACGGGCAGACAGACGGGCAGTCAGACGGCAGACAGACGGGCAGACAGACGGGCAGTCAGACGACAGACAGACGACAGACAGACGGGCAGTCAGACGACAGACAGACGGGCAGACAGACGGGCAGTCAGACGACAGACAGACGGGCAGACAGACGGGCAGTCAGACGACAGACAGACGGACAGAAAGAGGAAAGACAGACGGGCAGTCAGACGACAGACAGACGGGCAGTCAGACGACAGACAGACGGGCAGACAGACGGGCAGTCAGACGGGCAGTCAGACGGCAGACAGACGGGCAGACAGACGGGCAGTCAGACGACAGACAGACGACAGACAGACGGGCAGTCAGACGACAGACAGACGGGCAGACAGACGGGCAGTCAGACGACAGACAGACGACAGACAGACGGGCAGTCAGACGACAGACAGACGGGCAGTCAGACGGGCAGTCAGACGGGCAGGCAGACGACAGACAGACGGGCAGTCAGACGGGCAGTCAGACGACAGACAGACGGCAGACAGACGGGCAGGCAGACGGGCAGACGGACGAACGGGCAGACAGACAGACAGATGGCGGGCGGACGGACAGGTAGACGGACAGACGGCGGGCGGACGGACAGACAGACGGCGGAAAATTTCTAACAGTGCAGAGATTTGGAATTCAGAAGTCACATAACTTACTGTACTGAGGTAGGGGGGCTGATGGTGGATAAGACACATGCCTTTTATGTAGGAGACCTGGTTTCAATTCCCACTGTGACCCATCCACCCCTCGTTGCTCCAGAGGTGTGCGACCTCTGACATGTACAGCAGTTGTAGTCGCTTTGGATAAAAGCATCAGCTAAATGAATAAATGTAAATGTAAAAAGTCCCGGAGGGTTAGTCTTCAGCAGAGGGACGTCCTCACAGTGCTGTTTAAACCTCTGTATTATTGACCCTCTGTCTGCACAGAGCTGCTGTTCATGTCTGCTGATCAACTCCAGCATGAGAGTCCCCCAGGCTCTGAGGATGGAACCAGGGCTACTGGAGGCAGGATCTAGGTGAGGAAGCCTTCGCACACTCCCCTCACTTTAATATCAGCGTTACAGTCCCGCTCATCAGACGTGTCCTTGTCTCCCAGACATCAGATGGTGCTCTGAAGAAGCCATGGGTAGCTGTCTAAGCTGTCCAGAGAAAGAGTCAATTCCAGATAATCATCAAAGCAAATTTAAGGTAAGTTCCTGCCCCGGCCTGCCTTGACAGCGAGCTCCCAGTCTGTCCGCCCACACCCTGGATTATTCTCTGATGACTCTGCTCGTTTCCCAACTCCCCGTCACTCAGAGAGCTTCATCCCTGCACGAGCTTCTCTTATTCTCACCTTCAGTCGAAGCTGACTCCTCGATTCATCCATTTACAGACAAGACAATAAAATGAATACTGCTTTCAAAAGTACATTTATATATATATATTTTTTCTAATGAACGTTTCTGCTGCAGCAACAGAAAGTTCCACTGAAATCAAGTCATTTCATGGACGAGGTAAATGCAGTAAGAAATAAGTGCCTGTGCAGCAGCTGATCTGCTAGTGACGGAGCAGTTTACACATCGGTACTTCAACACGCCGGGACAAACTGACACTATATTTATACAAAGAAAGGAATAACTTCATGTGTCACAATTTACAAGAGAGGACCAATAATAATGATTTTGTAGTAGACAGCGTTTCAAAAGTTTATGTAATACGCAGAGACATGGGAACTGTTTTCTCTTCATATTTTTCAAGAAAGTATGAAACTGTCCGGTGTTTTCTCATCTTGTGCACTCGGCAGCAACACGGTGTCCGGCTGTAAACGTGCACCGTTTTAGGATTGTAAAGTCACATCAGGGCACATCTGCAAAGTGAACAGTATAATAATTATTTGCTACGCTAACCGCCATTAACAATTCATTGGCCGTGGGGAAAACGTCACAGCTCGTTACGTGAAGCTAGCTCGCTAACTAGAGACGAGTCTTCATCACACAGAGCGCCACAGCGTTTTGTGCCTCCTCCCCAGATGCTACGGCGTAACTGAGGTGCTTTCAGGCCTGGTGAGGTCAACTTCTGTCAAGTGCTCCCACACTCTGGAGGTTTTTATGTAGGTGTTAATGCTATCGCTGATGTTTTAGTAACTTTACTGTTCACATCACTTTACTCCGTTAAGCCGATGGTGTCGCTACAGCCCGGTGGCGTCATGAACGAATCAATTATTAAATTTGTTAGCAATTAATTTAATACACAGCCCCTGAACAAAGGGGGGTAACGATCAGTACCTGGCGTGGTCCTGTGCAGGTGCTGTTACATGTGGTCTGTCACTGCGAGGACGATCAGCCGTCCTTCCTGTCTCACAATTTATTGCCATTGCAACATCTGTAGTCCGCATGCCTCCATGCTGCACGCCCCAGGCACGTTCATGCAGATGCGCGTCTTTCTTTTGGTGTGTGCGTGTGTTTGTGTGTGTGTGTTTGCGTGTGTGCGTGTGTGCCTGCCCCTCACTGTGTGGATCTGTTCAGGTGATCAACGTGGACGACGATGGGAACGAGTTGGGTTCAGGTGTGATGGAGCTGACCGATGCCGAGCTCGTCCTCCACACCCATCGCCGTGACGACGTCAGGTGGCCGTACCTGTGCCTGCGGCGCTATGGTTACGACTCCAACCTCTTCTCGTTTGAGAGCGGCCGGCGCTGCCAGACGGGTCAAGGTACCAAACTGTTGTTTGTTTGTTTATTATGGAAACTAAAGTAAAACTAAAAGTTGATATGTATTAAAGTCACACGTCACGCTGACGGGCCGTGTTCAGGTGAGTCAGCTCCAGGCGCTGGCTTTATAATCGAGTTTTCTACAGATTATTCCATCGATTCATGGAGTAAGTGGATGAAGAAATCCTTTATCTTGCCGCCACCGGTACCAGGATCAGCTGTGTAACTTGGATCTCTGTAACGTTCCAACCCGAACTCGCGTACTAACCACTCTGAGGACGACAACAAGAAACGCACGTCTCAGAGTTTGGACACTTCCGGTCTTTCTCTCTTTCTTGTCTCTACCTCTACTTTGCAATCCGCAGCATCAAATCACGTCATCTTCACTTGTTCATGTTGTGCGACAGTAATAATCGTCCGTGTGAAACAGTGCACTGTATATAGTTATACGGATTAAACGAAGCATCGATTGATGAAGTTATTCACTCGGCTAAACAAAAAGCACTACACATGTGTAAACTGTGTGTGTATATCACAAAGTACAACTAACATTTGTAAAAAATAAACGTAAAGCGCTTAGGTTTTTAACGGAGAGGCAGCTCGTTAGAAACAGCTGCAGGTTCCTCCTTAGTGACAAACGGAACATTAAAACTTCATGAAGGGCGATTTATTACAGTTAGACTGAACTAGGGATGGACCCGAATATTCGATCGTTGGGTGCACATTTGATTCACAATTTTGGGATTCGAATATTGATATATATATTTTTTTAATTAATATTATTTTTCTCTCCCCACATGCCTGACCACCTCTTCAAGGACGTCTCGGTACGCTTGTTTGGTCCGCTTTCGGTGCGAACCCGAGTGCGATTGCTGCGTTCACACCTGCCCAAACGAACCGCACCGAAGGGGGAAAACGAACTCTAGTGCGATTCAGCCGAACTCAGTGAGGCAGGTGTGAAAGCGCCCTAAGATTTCGAGCTGTGCCGATTTAGATTTACATGAGTAACGTGGAGACTGTAAGGGCCTCACTGATGTGAACAGTCCAGGCGGATTAAAAAGAATAAAGAGGCCCCGTCCACACTGCTGCGTTTTCAAATTAAAACAGAGACCTTTTGCTACGTCTGCTCCTCTCGTCCAGACTAAAACTGCAAAAACGGAGAAGTTTGGAAACGCTGCCGTCCCCATTTTGGGTTTCGAAACTCTGGAGGGCGTTTTAGTGCAGACGGGCCAAAACGGAGGATTATAGAAACGATGACGCAGACATTCGGCTCTCTGATTGGCTCTTACAATATTCTGTACCGTGCAAATAACACTTACAGCTTACACTTGTAGGCAACCGTGCACGTCGCCGTTTACAACAACTCCCAGTCTGTAACATTCAGTAACTGTCCCAGCTTGTTACTGGTCCGTGCAAAAAGAATCTGGTGATTCTTCTTCTGCATTTCTTTATTCTTTTTACCAAATCTTCTGTGAGTACAGAGCAGACAATCTGCTGCGTGTTTACACCGGCACACACATGCCCGGCGTACCTGAACTGCCACTAGATGTGTTTTCAGTCGTTTTAACGCTGGCGTGGACGGAGATCGTATTCGTTTTAATTCTCCGTTTGTAAACCAAAACGGAGCAGTGTGGACGGGGCAGCTGAATGTTTTGAGCCTGAAGTGAACGCTGATGTTAGCACTATCACAGCAACAGATGAGCCCACTCAGTTTATCATTCATTCACAGCGTTAGAGTTAAATGTCTCAACCAAGAAGTTGTGACTTAAACCTGAAAATATTTGTCGCCACAGAAACACGAGCGTGTTTGTTGTCTGGCTGATCAGTGAACACAGATTGTTGTGCGTTTTCAGGTATTTTTGCCTTCAAGTGTTCTCGAGCTGAAGAGATCTTCAACATGCTGCAGGAGGTGATGCACAGCCACAGCATCAGCGTGGTGGAGGAGGCGGTGCTGGAGCCCAACCACCAGGCAGCACACACTCCTGCAGGTAAGCACACGCACGCCCCTACAGGTGTAGTGTCACATCGTCAAAATGTTAAGAGTATTGATCTTATGTACAGTTAAAAACAGACGGCGCAGCACGCGTGCGTACACCTGTGATGTCCAGCTGCATGAAGACGGTCATAACAGATCGTGTGACCACAGCGTCCTCTGGTTTGGCCTTATGGTCTCTAACGCAGCATAAGAAACCAGATTGTGAGACTGCATAAAGATCCCAGAGGGTCCCGGATGCAGCAGATTCAGGAGGACCAAGACGACCAGTAACAGACGGCTCCTCCAGGAATGACGCCAGGTGGAACCGTTGCCAAGTTTCTAAGAGCTGTGGGTTCATTAAGACTCGTCGGATTCTGCTTCTGGGTTCCTAACTTCCTGCAAATCTCAGCTCCTGACTGAACTGCAGTGAGCATTTTACTGTCCGTCAAAGAGTCTCTTATCTGCCAGGAGCTGCTACGCCGACCTAACGTCACCTCATGTGTTACGTCAACAAAGCCTGAAGAAGAGAGTCCTTCTGGTTCTGGTCCTGGACAGTAGCGGACGCTCCAAAGTTTGGCTTAACTTTACTAAAAAACTGCACCAGCTGCAGTCAGGAGGTTTGGTGCGAGGGAGGAAGCAGCTCCAACATGACGAAGCGTTCAACACGGCGTGAATCTGAAGGAACGCTTCACCGTGTTCATCGTGTCGCGCTCTCCCAGCTACAGTGACGCCCCAGATTCTTTCACTTTAGAGACATGAAGGGGAAGAGGAGCAAGAAGATCTGTGGTGAAGGAACCAGAACCCAGAGTCCAGAAGTAGAATCAGACTCAAACATTTAAACAATACTTATCAGTGGAAGGTGGTGTTTCAGTGACGGTATGAATGCAGCAGGTGTCGGAGAGAGAGGACCTTTATAGATGACACAATGAAGTTTAAATCCCCAAATGCTGAATAACAAGACGACCCCCAGCCTCAAGACGCCTGGCAGGAGACAAAGATCCCAAACACACAGAGAGAGAAGAGCGAGTGAGAGCTGTCACCTGGGCAGGTGAATCAGACAGCTGTAGGGTATTTGAAGGTGGAAGGTAGAACAAAGAGCAGCTGAAGACTCGCACAGAAAGATTGTTATGTATTGTTTAGTCGTGTTAGTGATGTATGTGTATTCTGTCCTCACGCTAACCTCTGTGTTGCTGTGTGTGTTGGATCCTCAGCTCTGGGCTACTCGGTGCCCACCGTGCCAAACGGCGTGACCCGGATCCCGTCGGTGGGCGAGGCTCCGTCTCACCCCTCCACCCGCCACCCGTCTGTGGCCAGCACCCGCCTGCCCTCTGTGGGAGAGGAGTCCACGCATCCTCTGCTGGTGGCTGATGAAGCGGTAAGAGTTCGTCTGTCCTCAGGATTATTTCCTGATTACTGATGAACTGTTGAGCGTTTGTGGTAGAAATCTGTCCACATGAGAACAAATTAAAGACGAGTCTGATGTAATGATGATGTCATTATCCTCATGCAGGTTCACACCTACGTGAACACCACGGGGCTCCTGGAGGACCAGCCCAGCCCGCTGACCATGATCACGCCTCTGGAGAGTCCCACCTCTCCCCAGTCTCAGTGTCCTCCGACCCCGCCGCCTCCTCCGAGGGCCCGCACAGAGCCGCCGCCGCCGCCGCCGCCGCCCGCCCAGCCGGAGCCCCAGGTGCTGCTGGAGCCTCAGGGGGTGCGCTTCGTGCTGGGCCCCACCCCCGTTCAGAGGCAGCTGATGGAGAAGGAGAAGAGGCAGCAGGAGGCCAAGGAGACCGAGGAGCCCCGAGAGACTAACGGCCACACAGAGGCCGAGCCCACTCCCCCGCTCTCCAACGGCTCCTCCTCCAACCCTTCCACAGCTCCTCGCCGACACCGCCCGCCCCCGCTCACCCCGGACCTGCAGAATGTCAATAACTCGGCCCAGCGGCGCACCGCCCTGCTGGACTACGAGAACCTGCCGGCGCTGCCGCCGGTGTGGGAGGCGAGGAAGCCGAGCTCGGAGGAGGAGGAGAACGGCTCCAGCGGCCTGAAGACGCCGTCGCTCAACGGCTACAACCACCACCCCCACCACGGCGTGCTGCACCACTCCTACTCCCACCCTCTCTCCGCCGCCCTCGAGTCATCGCACAACTACGTCAACACCGAGAACGTGACGGCGCCACTGAGCGCCCACCGGCCCGACACGGCCCGTCGCCGCACAGACGGACCCACCATCTTCAACTTCGACTTCCGCCGGCCGCCGCTGCCGGGCCACCCGGAGCCGCCCAAAACCCTCAACTACATCGAGGTGGAGATGGACAACAGCGCCGGGAACAAGGGCGCTTCAGACGGCAGCAACCCCCACACGCCCCGCACCCCCACCTCCCCGCTGCCCCCCTCCACCCCCACCCGCCGCACCGAGCTCTACGCCCTCATCGACATCGAGCGCACCGCCGCCATGTCCAACCTGCAGAAGGCTCGGCCGCGAGACGACGGCACGTCGCGCAAGACGCGACACAACAGCACGGAGCTGCCCACCAAAAGCACTGCGTGACACGCACCTTCCACTTCCTGTTAACCCTTTGTGTCGATGGACGGAGCTTCTTTAGATTCCCGCACGGAGACGCAGTGACAGACTCCACCCGACCGGGTCTTACATGAGTTAATGACTTCCTGTGCGGTCACCTGTTCAGGTGGACCGTCGCAGATGAACCTAGGTACTTGCCATAGAGCAGTTTGGTCCTCCGGCGGTGTGATACCTCTGATGTTGCCTCGCTCTGCGGAGCGTGGGCTCCATGTTGATAAGACTGCATTCCTCCTCCTTATATGGTACAAATCAGTATTACTGAACAAAGCATTCCATTTAGCCTTTTTTATATGACTCACTACATGCTGCTGTAATTCAGTATCTAAGGACGACATGGTACACTACATTATGTTTCTGAATATGTACAGTAGATTCTGGCACAATAAATGTCTGTTCTGTTTTTATCTGTACTCGGTGGAGAAGAGGCTTCCTGTCCCGTCTGGTTATCTCAGCTGATGATGATGATGATGGTTCACAGTTCAGGGCCACTTCACACAGCTACAGCTGGTCTTTCACCTCAAAACTAAAAGTATCTGTGGCAACAAGCGCTGAGAAGCCAACATCCCACGCGTTCTTGATTTAAACCAACAGATGCCTCTCATGTCTGTAAATAGGAAGCTACAGCCAGCAGCTGTTTAGCTTAGCATAAAGACTGGAAACTGCAAGCGTGAAAAAGGGCTGGGCGATACACGGCTAAAAATGTTACTACCGTAAACAATTCACATAATATGATAGTGATAATTATCAAGATTAATGTCAAATCATTATTTCTTTAACAAATAAAAAAAGTTGTTTTTCCCTCAACAAAATTAAGATCTTAATAGAAAATTTAGGTACTGATTTGTTCAAGATTCAAATGAATTAAATCATATTTAATGGACATTTGTTATTTTGTTTTTATAATTATCATTAGTGTTTTATTGCCCAGCTCAGAGCCAAGAAACGGTCCTGGACACACAACCCCAGAAAGCCACGTGTTGTTTGACCAGATGAAACAAACCAGAGAAGGAGAGGATTTAGCTAAATGTTGAACTGTTGCCTTAAAAAAAAGAAGTTTTTCAGCTCGCACAGTAAAGAGAAGAACAACAACTGTCCTCTAGCAAACGAGCAAATCAGAATCAGGAAGATCTTTATTTAGAAGTATTTTACACGTGTGAGTTGAATTTGCTTTGGTGATCCGGTGCTGGACACAGACATACGGTTGACATAAATAGATTTTTAAAAATATATAAATATGGAATAAACAGATGCAACTTATAAAAAAATTATAGAATTATGTGTAAAAGAAAACCAAAACAACGTGACAGTTATTTACATTTACTCCAGATTTGTTTGAGACCTATTACAGGCAGAGAGGTTTGGTATTTATATAAGATTGACACTCTGAATGTCAAGCAAAGTTTATTTATATAGAACTTTCACCAACACAAGTGTATAATCACATAAATACAGCTGCTGATCAGGGTCCAACATGGTGGAAAAATTGCAAATTTAACTTTATTTGAGCAGAAGAGCTGAGCGTGCTTGGAAAGGGATCACGATAAACCAGGTATTTAGAGATCCTGACGGTTTGACTTTCAACACAGTCAAAAACACAGTCGCTCCTCTTTCTCTGAACTGATCCGGCGCTGATGTAGCGTAGGTGAAAACCGCCTGACATTTACAACATGATAACCTGAAGCCGCTAAACAACACATGCAGGAGGAGCTTTAGTCCGTTACGCTTACGTCAGAGGAGACGTAAGCGTAAACCAGATGGATTTGGTAAAGTGGAAATGTTTTTATTAAACGGAGAGGATAAACAAAAGTCAGAACAGAACCAAAGAACTCAGTATAACCTAATGCGATCCCTCCTAGATGAGGGATTACTGACTACAAACAAAAGAAGAAGAAACCTCTTAACTGTTGTCACTTGGCCAAACAGAGGGAGAGCAGCACCCCTAAACCCGTGTGTCTAATACAAAATCAGAATACCAACAGTGTGCAAGAAACTTTTAGTTTAGAACCTGGATCCCTGACCCAAATCTGCAGACGAAGGTTTAACCAGCAGTATTATCGACATTAGATCTCTGACTACTGGGAACGTAGCTCACAGCTAACACCAGAGATGCTTTATGGCCAGGTTTCACAGACGCCTATCCACCAGTTGTAGGGTGGTGTGGGGTAGATGCCCCCCCACCCCCCAAGCCCAAGAACATCATTGAAGAACATTTTATTGATTTTTAGCATCTTTAAGAAGGCCATGCTTTGGGTAACATAATATAATGTAATATTAAATAGCTACAGTTGACATATTTTGTATTTAATCAAATGTAAGTTTTAGGGAAAAGTCATTTTCCACACGGGGTAAGATGCGAAACATGAGGACAGACGGGTTGAAGAGATTTTGCGGGTGAGGAAACACCTCGGCGAGTGGTTCAAGATCGGATGTGCTCGGTGTGGTGTTTGTCCCGCCCGCTCCTGTGCTGTGATTGGACGGCAGAGAAGAAGTGACAGCGAGGAGCGCGCCATTTTTCCCTAAGTTGAAAATTTTTCAACTCTCGGTGACCGGGGGGGCGCTCAGTTCTGAAAACGCGGCGCTCCCATTGCAATGAATTGAGAAAAGACGCTGGCGTGGTCCCTGCTCAGCTGCTCTCCTGCCGCTCGCTCTCTCTCTCTCGCTTAGCCACACACGCTCAGCGACAGCAGCGACACGCCTGCGCCTGTGAGCGTTGTGTGCGAGCACGACAGGGCGAGTGAACGAGGGACACGCCTCTACCCCTGTTTGGGAGCATCTGTATGATAAAGGCGAGCCAGCCGACCGGACGAGGCTGTGTCCAGGCCGCCGATGTGTTGGTGTCCATGGCAACAAGTTTGATCGTGTAATCCAGAAAATCCTTTCTTTCCTATTTATTGATTATTCGAATGTCAAGCGGTCGGTGAGATGTTAGATCCGGCTGAGTATACAGTAGGCCTATAAAAAAACTTTATTAACCGTTGGATAGTTACTCGTAACCATCTCCATTTTACTAACATCTATAAAGATACTAGTGCTTATTTTTTATTCAGTAGTAACTAATAAATAAAGTACTGCTAATTGTTACTAGTGAAACAGGAATAGCTACTAGAAACTAATAAACCAGTAGGCTACTCGTAGCTTTTAAATAGTGCCAGTAAGTTTTCAGGAATAAATGTTCATCTTTATTAAAATACAAGTACATATACAAATTAATACAAATACATAAGAGGTCTAGCACAAGGAAAAACAACAGCCTCGCTCCTAAGAACTACAACTTGTATAGATACAGACAGGATGTGACTCTACTTTGCATGATCCACGCTTGCTGGGTTTGGTTGATCTCTAGTTTCCATGTAGACATGCCCTCCTGTGATTGGATAGTTGCACGACGGCGTCCATTCAGGCAAAGCGTGTGAAGTAGCCCGTTATCCATATCACACCGAATACGGTGCTGATGAACACAGCAGACAGCTGCCTGCCTACTTCTGCAAATACAGTCCTGATATAAACTTTATTAAACAGTGCATTAAACAATATATTACAAAACAAATGCTTAAATCAGGCAGTTATGTGACAAATGAATAATAAAGTCAAAGTTACTCAAAAACAGTGAGCAGATATTAAAGATTAAAGAGTCAATTAATGGTTAAAATACTAAATAAGATGATTAAATCAGGTATGAAAGCAATATATTTAAAATAAACAACGGTATCAATAAAGTCAAAAGTGAAATATCATTCCACAGTTTCACATTAAAACAAAAGCTTATCAAATAAAACTAAATAAAATCTTTATAAACCAATTAATACCAGTAATACACTTAATATTTACTGATACTCTTTGTCATGTAAGACACATATTTGTTAATTAAACTATTTGTAATTCAGCATCCTGAATAGTTTTCAGGTATTTATCATGACAAGTTTACATCTCACACATTTTCATGGAGCTGATTTCATCATAAGCTCTCCGTACATTCTTACAACATAATTCTTACTACTTTCAACATATTTAAGCATTTCTGTTCATTTTCTTTTAATTATATAGCTGATTTAAAGCAAAGGCTTCTTAGCGTGTCTTTGGTAAGACAGGCGTGTAAGTGCTGCTGCTGTCTGAGCTGTTTTTAACTCAGATGAGATAGTGATGCGGTTTTCACTTTTTATTTTATAGCTGTTCAAACATGATTACACAACATTTTTTATAATGGTAATTCATGCGTTTTAGTAACCACACAGCAACATAAGTTTATAAGACGACTTTAGCAATGCATTCTGCAATTTTAAATCAAGCAAGATTATGTTACGAGATGATTTCTTAAAGGGTAAAAATAAAGAGAAATTAAATATGAAGAAGAATCATAAAATTCTTTCTCTCGTTGTCAGAGTGAAGCACACATTAAAACATTTCCCTCCCAATTATATTAACTTGAAATACTTCTTGATGAGCCAGCTTTGGGAAACATCTCATCTTTGCAGTATATTTAAATATTTGGATACTGAATCAAAGTTAATTTGTTTTTTTTAACTGTTTCTTATATTCGTGGATATCGGTATGCATCTTTAACACACATGGACTAAAATATGTAGAAAGTCAGATTTGGGTTGAGCTTCCTCAAAATAAAAATGACAAAACAAAATACTGAACAGATTCAACCCCATACTGAACTGTATGTGATAATATACGGTATACAGGCCCCTCCAAAAGTATTGGAACGGGAAGGCAAATTCCTTTGTTTTTGTTGTTCACTGAAGACATTTGGGTTTCTATGGGAGAAAAACAAGCCATCGTCAAGCTGAGAAAAGTTGAGAAAAGAAGGAAAATAGAGCAGAGCCACTGGACAAACATTGGGTACAGCAAGCACCACAATTAGGAACGTCCTGAAAAAGAAACTACTGGTGCACTGAGCAACAGACGTCCAACAGGTCGGCCAAGGAAATCTACAGTAGTTGATGACAGAAATATGGTGAGAGCTGTGAAGAAAACGCCCAAAACATCAGGAAGTGACATCAGCAACGACCTCCACAGTGCAGGGTGAAGGTATCACAATCCACTGTTGGAAGAAGACTCAGAGAGCAGAAATATAGAGGCCACAACACAAGATGCAAACCACTCATCAGCAGGAAGAATCACAAGGCCAGAGTGAAATTTGCAGAGAAGAACAGAGATGAGCCTCAAAAGTCCTGGAACACAATCTGATGGACGGATGAGACCAAGATTAATCTGTAGCAAAGTGATGGAGAAAGAAAGGAACTGCTGATGATCCAGAGCGTACGAGCTCATCTGTGAAGCCTGGTGGAGGTGATGTCACGGCCTGGGCTGCATGGCTGCTTCTGGAACAGGCTCATTAATATTTATTGATGATGGAACTGATGATGGTCGCAGCAGAATGAATTCAGAAGTGTTTACAGAGAAA